TCCGGCGGCTGTGAGGAAACACAGGCTGCGCCGAAGGTCCACCACTCGAATAAGTCGGGTGGACTGGGACAAAGATGTATCCCTAGAGGGGAACATCTAGAAGAGAAACAATCGATCGCTCAGGTTAAGCGAAACGATAATCCTAGATCGACTGGAGAGTCTTTCGTAGAGGATCTCGCTGTGGTTGCGCAACCCCAGCTCGAGGAAGTAAAGGGAATAAGTCCCAAGATTACAAATACGGCGGAAATCAGTTCCCCGAAACCCGCGGAATAAGTCCCCGGGAAGACGAAGAATAAGTCCTTCGAGGCCTGAGGGAATAAGTCCCCAGGACATGACAGAGACATTGAATGTCCTAGTCAATGACGGATCAAGTGTAGGCGCTTATACACTTGATCTGATTGCGCCTCCGAAGTTAACTTCGGAGATCACTCAGTTGCCAACGCTCGAACATAAAAGATTCTTGCGTGATCTGCGTAGTGGCAAAGTCAAGCAGATCTGCATACTCGTCGCTGAAGACGAGTATGTAACCGACATAAGGTCAGCAACAGTGTTTACTGAGAACGAGAGAGTTCTCAGTAGTTCATCTATGGACGAGAGTGTCCTAGATGAAAAGACACGAATTGAGCGATATGAGTCCCAATCATGGGAATCGCTCAAGACAAATCCTCTCTATGAAGATTTGGTTGAATTCAAGGATGTATTCCCTGAAACTGTTCCGTGCGAATTACCGAAGGATAAAGGTATTCGACACGAAGTCGAGCTTAAACCAGGCTCGAAGTACTGTGTCATGAAGCAGTGGCCACTGCCTCGTGAACATACTTGCGATCGACAAGTTCTTTGCCGATCGTTTAGCAGCGGGCCATGTGAGGGAATCAACTTCCCCACATAGCTCTCCGACCTTCTGTGTGCGAAAAGCAACAGGAGGGTGGCGGATAGTCACGCGTTTAACAAATTGAACGCTGCAACGGTACCGGCTCAGACGCCGATACCGAGGAAGGACGTAATCATTGATGGTATGTCAAAGAGTACCATCTTTTCGTCCATGGATTTGATGGATGGCTTCGATCAAATCCTTATGCGAGAACGGGATATACCCTATACCGCAGTTAGCACGCCTAGCGGCATGCTCTGGAATGGCTAGTAATGCCACAAGGGCTCAGTAATGCCCCTGCCACGTTCAACAGGTGTTATCACATCTGTTGAGACCAGTACGAGAATTCGCGCCGAGTTATTTCGATGACGTATTCATCCATAGTCGAGCTATGGATGGAAAGTCGGACGTTGAGTTCACAGGTACCACGTCCGACAGGTTCTTCAATCATGCAAAGCATCAATTGTATGCAAACCTCAAGAAGTTATATTTGCAGCAAGCGAAATACCACTTCTTGGGTGCATCGTTGGTAAGAACGGTGTACGTCCTGATCCCGAAAAGATCAAGGCGATCACCGACTGGCCTGTGCCGGTCGATGTCAAAGGTCTTCGAAAATTCCTTGCTAGCGGCGTATTTGCATAAGTATTCACGCAATTACGCCGAGATGACTGTACACCTCTCTCGTTTGTTGAAAAAGAACGAGAGGTGGTTATGGAACCTGAATGTCAACGCTCCTTTGAGGGTATCAAGCAGAGCTTGATACAATCCCCAGTCCTAGCGATAGCCGATCAGGACAGGCCATTTCATGTGTCTGTGATGCCAGCGATTTCGCAATCGGCTGTGCATTAATGCAGTACGACCTTGAAGGCGTTGAACGCGTCGTCTGCTATCAGTCGCGTCAGCTGCAACCAGCTGAGCGAACTATCCAGTGCATGACAAGGAACTCCTTGCCATGAAGTATGCACTCGCGAAGTTCAGAGTCTATCTATTAGGAGATAGACCCTTCGTTGTTTACACTGACCATGCGTCCTTACGCACGGCAGTGAACAGCCCGCACCTTTCACAACGAATGGCGCGGTGGTTGTCATTCTTTGCAGAATACAACTTTACGGTCGAGTACAAACCAGGACGACTTAATGTCGTCGCTGATGCACTCTCACGTCGTCCCGACTTTGAAACAGTCGCGAAACCCAACAGTGAGACAGTCACTGTTGCGGTTATGACGTCCTCAGTTCCATATACAACGTTGTATGATGATGTGAGGCGGGCATACGCCCAAGATGGTGAGATAGTGAAGTTGTTGTCACATCTCTCCCAACCATCTCGAGAATCGTTGAAACGATTGTCGTCTGCGTATCGACCTGCATCAGATCGATACACTACTCGTAACGGTTTACTGTACTATACAGCCGTTTCTGGTGACACACCACGTGTTGTCATTCCAGATGATATTGATCTGCGTTTGCGGATCATGTTCGAGTATCACGATGCTCCTATAGGAGGACATCGTGGCCGAGAGAAAACATATCTCACGGTAAGTCGAGACTTTTACTGGCCCCGCCAGTATCAGTTTGTGTGCAAGTACGTTCGCGCATGCGAAGTCTGCCAATGAGTGAAGTCAAGTCCTTCACTGCGTGCACCTTTACAGCCTCTACCGGTTCCGGCTGAGTGCTGGGAATCCATCTCAATGGATTTCGTCTTCGGGTTACCCAAAGACGCACGCGGGAATACGGGTATTCTCGTATTTGTTGACAGATTCAGCAAAATGGTACACCTTGTGGCTGTACCAGAGACAATCACGGCAAGTGGCTGTGCTTGTGTCTTTATTGACACCATCTTCCGACTTCATGGGTTGCCCCGTGAACTCGTATCAGACAGAGATCCACGATTCACTGCTGATTTCTGGCGTTCCGTGTTCAAATCACTCGGAACGCGCTTGAAGATGTCAACATCTGATCATCCAGAGTCAGATGGTCAGACGGAACGTGCCAATCGTGTCCTTGAAGAGATACTTCGAGGATACGTACACTCCTTTAAGAGTTGGAGTGAGTTTTTGCCGATGGTAGAGTTTGCCATCAACAACTCGGTGCATGCGTCCACGACAATACACCGTTTTACGTGAATGGCTTGCGCCATCCGCGTGTACCCACCTTACTAGAGTGTAACTCTGGTTTAAGGGGGAGGGACTCGCGCGAGCAAAAACCGATTTGGTTCACGCTCATCACGCTCTGACGAAGAAGTCATTGCGTTTGATGCCGATATCGATAACATCGATATCGAAGAAGATGATGCCAGTGAGAGTGCGGAAGCCCTCACTGAAGACAATGATCCCAGTGAGAGTGCGGAAGCCCTCACTGAAGAAAAGGTTGTTGTCGCTGCAGTGCGCTCACAGCACACTGAAGCTAACGAGTCATCAGATGAGTTCATACTGGCTCGTGAAACGGTAGTCCGTTTTGTGCAAGACTCCATCGCCGAAGCGGTGGATAAGCAAAAGCAAAACGCTGACAAGAATGGAAGGGCAAACACTCTTTTATTTAATAAAGGTGACTTAGTCCTACTGTCTACGGTTAATCTACCAAAACATGTAGTGACTAACTTGGGTAGCAGTAAACTACTACCCAAGTACATTGGCCCATTTCGTGTATTGCACCGCCTAGGCAATGCATACACGATCGAGTTACCAAGTAAGATGCGAACGCATCCCACGTTTTACGTTGGTCGGCTTAAGCCGTACCATCAGTACGCTGCTTCTTCCGATGAAGAACGCCCTTGCGCTCAAGCATCTCGCAGAGAGCCTTGTGCTCCCGATGGTGGGCATCAACAAGGGTCTGAAGAGCAGTTATCTCAGCCCGAGACCGATCAACAATCCCACGAGCTACCCTTAGCTCGTCACGAAGAGATGTCAGAGATCTCTCGTTCTCAAGCTGAGCAAAGGCAAACTCAGCTCGATGCTTCGAGGCAGTGTCCACCATCTGGAGACCCTATTCCGCTCATGCTCGAGATCGTCGCGTAACCCTTGCGTTACGCGATCAAAGAAGCTCTCGGGAACACACCGATCCACATGATCGTGTGGAGAGCGTCTTTCCTCCTCCTCCACCTCCATTAGAGGACTCTCGCGGTGGCCAGCGCTATCTAGTTGAGCAGCTGTTGAACCACCGCGACGTGAACGGACGTCGGACGAGTTACCTCGTCCGGTGGCGCGGCTATCCCCGTCCTGGGATTCTTGGGAGCCCCGCTCCCAATTGATGGTTGACGTACTGGGTCTGGTCGAGCAGTACGACGCGACAATCCTGTGCCGCAGAAGGACCGCCGGAGAAAGTCTTCCCGCACGTCGTAAAGGGATTTCAGGTTGTCAATCCCTTCGTACATCTCAGTAGAGACACTACGCGCCACCACGGGCTGGTAGGAGGTAAGCCTCCTTAGGTGCTCGTGCAGAGTTGTTCACACAACATGGGCACGAGTCTCCCCAAGAGAGGCAGGGTAATCCTTTCTCCCTTGACAGACGATGCAGCTTGTAGCGTGCACCTGTCGGGGTTCGCTTTTCAAACTTATCACGAGCTTTGATAAGTTTGTCGTTCCAAGCGTCACGACCTACATCCTCGAGATTATGGATGTAGGCGTTCCACGCCTGAAGTAGTGAGGACCATCACGTTTGTGATTCCCACTGTACCATCGATGTCTGAAGAAAGCATCGATGAAGAACTCATGTTCAGCGCATAGTCTTTCGCGCTGGGTCAAGGTGATGAATCCTTGACGAATCGAACAATCGTGTTCGATAACGATCACTCGTCGTCGCCGACAAGTGATCCATGACAGATTTAGGAGGCATCCATGCCTTCTTTTCTGGAGCGAGACGCAACACATTGCGGTCCCGCTCTTCCTGCGACGTGCCGACAGAAGTACTGGCACTCGCTGTGAAGTGGTGTCCATTGGAGAACCGACACCACTATTAGCGCCCGAGTCTCGCGACCTCGAGCCCTTCGCTTCGGCGATGGTTCATCTGACTCATCAGATGAACCAAAGATGCTCGACGCAAAGCATCGTCCATGCCACGCTTGGCAGGCGGCTTGATTCAATTGCCGTCGATACGGATCCGTCTTCCGTATCAGGAGAGTATGAGACACCGAGCTCACTCTGTGAAGACACGAGTGTCTTCATGACCAGCGCCTGCATCACCAGGTGATACAGGCTGAGTCGATTCAGCAACTGATGGGACATCAGTTGCTGTAGTTTCTGCTTCGGCGTCCGCACAGAGACGTGCAGACGCGCTCTCGGCGGCCTTGCTCGCGCATCGCATGGCTTGTTTACCATGCGATGAGATGTTGGAAAGTGGACGCACCAACAAGTGCAAACCCTGTCCCAAATGATTTGGGACGAGTATCCATTTAGTCAATCAGTCACTAAAGTGACTGATGGTTAAGGGGGGTGATGTAACGGGGTGAATCGTTACATAACAATTTATAAGAAATTGTTAATAGAATATAACTATAAGAGTTATATTCTCAGAATATTGTCATAAGGACAATATTCTGTAGCACTTCCAAGTAGTTCCTAATTGGTTGATATAGGCCATTATATCAACCAACGAAGACGCCCACGACAGACGCACCAATGAGTGGTGAGCAGATAACTGATTTACACATTTGTATTTAGACATAGTTAGATGAAGATAAATAGTGATTTATTGCAGACATTAACTATTATAAATACAGTTCTACTTTTTACTTTAACCAAGTACTCGCTTCTTCTTACCGTCTTCCTCTGCACGTACGAGTGTACGTGAAGTTACGAGGCACCGCCTTATTCTGTTATCAGAATAAGTAGCTTGTACTGTCACCAGTACAAGCTTCAGGGTGCCCCGTTACATTCACCCTTCGGCCTCGCAACCATATAGGGACAGGTAGTACGTGTGATAACGTCAATGAATTAGCTGCTCCTTTCCGGCTATTTGCCACACTATACATAAACTGTTCCGGCTGTGAAAGTCACCTCAACTTCGTATACAAGAGCGTAAGGTGGTGCGGTGCGCCTGTGATCATCTAAATAAAAGTTATCGTGTGGTGAATTTTTTAGGTAAAAAGTGTGATAAAAATAACAATTCCCTATTTTTTTTCTCTCGTTCCTCTTGGTCTAGTGTTTAATTCCCGCAAAATTGCAAAACTGAACTTCTTCCAGTTTGTGTTATTTGATTCACCTAAACGATCGTTCTAAAACTCAGACCCAGCTCTGCACGACAATCGTCCCCAGCGCGTCGACGCACGAGATGTCCACTCACGTGGTAAGTTTCGACGCTTGATACGCGCTGGTGCACGGTACGTAATACATTCCAACGTGCTTCCTGTCTTTGCGTTATGACTCGTGCTCATTCAACAATATAAACGTGCAGATGGAATTATGAACGCGGTGCCAAACTCTACTTGGTGGGCAGCTTTGCTACTTCTGTGATGACCTAATTGTGTACGTACGTTACGACCTCATGTAATTATGGCAGTGCATTAACATCACACACTGGAGCTTTCGAAACAAACTCGGCGGGCGTATCGACGTCACTGGAGCTCTGCCGGAGCCGCTGGGTGTAGCAGGAAACAATGGAGCAGCAAATACTCGGTCAGCACATCCTCGTGCCCGCCGACATTGCACACGTCTAACGATGAGGTTTGTCCTACTACTCACTTGGCTGTCTATTGTTTGTTGGGTGCTTTAGCTGTTCACACGCGCAGGCGGACATATATCTGTACTGCTGTATACATATATCGGCTGACGACGCATATACAAGTGGGCGATCTGGTTACTTCGCTGGTGGTGGCTGCTGGATCTGTCCCGGCGGAGCTCGCGTGGACGACGTGTTCAACGTCGGCGACATTTGGTCCAGTGACGCTGGCATCGGGATTGGCGTCTTCGTACCGATGGATCTATTGGACGAGCTCAGGTCAGCAGTTAGCGCCGACAACACCGCAGAGCTGCTCGCAGACGACACGTCAGGCAGAGGCATTGGGCCGGATGCTCCGAGCGCGTTCGTGTTGTTGATGGCGTTCGTGTTGCTCAACAATCGAGCGATCATCGCCACCTTCTGCGACTCGGAACAGTCTGTGCGGTTCAGGATTAATTGAATCTTGTTCTTTACCTCGGGCATGCGGTCTAGGACATGCAACAACGTCGACGTGGTCACGGGCATTGGTGCATTACGCTGCGCTTCACGTGAGGCAGTCGCGATATCCACGGCCAGACCCGCATTGGCTTCATTCGCACCCACACCATGCACCACCCCACCCCACGCTGCTGTTGTCGCTGCTGTTATGGTTTGTGCTTGGGTACCTGCTGGAGCTGTGGTAACAGCTGCTCCTACGCTCGCCGCGCCCGTAGATGGCATTGTCGAAGTGGACATTACACCAACAGCATTTGCTTCGCTTGTGAGACTTGCAGCATGCAAGCGGCGTGGCATTGAAGTACTCACAGAGACTCCGAAACCCGAGCCAGCACCCAGCATCACGTCGCCACTCGCTGAAAGTGGCGACCCGTCACGCCCAGTGGAAGCCACGACCGCTGCCGCTTGTACAGCCACAACGGCCGCCTCTTTGCTGCGTTTAATTACTTCGTCTGGACCTAGCAGAGATCCTGGAAGAAGCGCAATCATGTCTGTGTGTGACTTGTGCGGCGGCGGCACCACCACACGATTCGACTTTGTGGCCGTGACTGGTGAGACGGAAGCTTTTCTAAACACTTTTGCGCTGGCTTTCGTTGGAGTAGATGGGGCTGCAGTAGTAGTCAAGGTGTGCGAAGACGGAAAGGATGCAGCTGTGAGTGAAGCTTTTGTACCCAAGTCCGTTGAGCTTGCAGCAGGTGGCGCCGCGGTCGGCCCGGGCGTCGCAGAACTAGCTTCGACAGGAATCGGAATCGGTGGTGGCGACGTCTTGCGCTTCACACACTGAATGATCGCGTCAAATGAGGCTCTTATTGACCCTAAGTCCTCCAGGGCTCCAGCATTCGTATATATTGCCTTTGTGCCAGCATCAGCATCAGCCACCACTTGTCTTTGTCTATAGGCGAGCGTCAATCCTTTCCGGCTCGGTGCGCTCGCGATAGAAGGTGGCGGTATGCCAGGTAGAGAATAACGTTGTGGGAACTTCACAAGCAATTCGTTACGCGTCAATCCGATGCGCGTGTCCAGTACTGCGGCCGCAACACTTGTAGCACGCTGGACTTTGACAGAAACGCCGGGCTTGCTTTCGGTCGTTATAGCTACCATTGCACTAGCAGAAGCCCCGCTTGAAACTGCAGCGAGACCACAAGAAATTATCTTGCCGTAGCGGTCATAACACTGCCGAGGTGAGCGCTTTTTACAGACGAATCGAGAGACCGCAGTAGTCGAATTGAAGACCTGCGCGATGAGAGTCCAGTTGGCACCGTAGAGTTCGAACAGTTTCTTAAGGATGGTGTCATCTTGCCCGGTCCAGGCATCACGCCCAGAGTCGGGCAAAGACATGCTGCTTTTTCGAGCTCGGCCTGTTCCCATCTTCGCCTTTTTTGAGCTCTTTTGAAAGCCTGTTTTGAAGCCTGATTCCACATGCGCTCCTGTCCCGCTCCCCACAATACCGCTTGAGGTTGACGCTGTCGACGCACCTGCGCCACTGGACGCTGTACCAGACGAAGAGACTGTTGACGATACTGCTGGTTCAAGGGCGCCCACGCTAGCACCTAGAATACCGCTATAAAGAGCAGGATCGTCCCACTCAGCGGAATCAAGAGCATCCAAGTTCGTGTCCCCCCAGAAATCGTCATCAGCGAATTCAGATACGTCGGGAACAGGAATTCCTTCGAGGTCCACACGTCGCTCCTTTTGAAGCCCCGACTTTATCCCAGTCAACTGCGTTTCAAGCTTTCGTTTAACACCGGCAGAGTTACTTGGTAGATTCGTCAAGCTCGAACCAGGAACAGACCCATGCACACTAGCTCGGGATCCTGCCACAGCGGCGAGGCTGACCCGCTGTTTCTTGCTAAGCTTGGTAAGTCTAGATGCATCCCCAAGCTGGCCGACAATGTGATCAAACTTTGACTTTCCGACGTGAGGAACTGGTGGCAAAGGAGCCGGCACACGATACGATATCCGAAACGTCATCCGAGTGTCGATGCTCGAAGCAGCTGTTGAAAACAGGACCACTGGCTGTAATCTTGCGGTCCCCAAGCGAGGTACTCGTGGGGGCTCGTAGACATCAAAACACGTTTCCATGCCTTGCATGCGCATCTGCATGAACAGTTCTTCAAGCGCGCTTTTATCCACTGTACCATTGCGAGTTTTGACACTGTAAAAAGTTGCGCTGCGGCATCACCTTCTTGCCACAGACGTTTAGCCTGTAAGACAGCAAGGTTATCAAATGAGCGCTGGTTCGATTGTAACAACGTGCCACTTTCATTCCAAGAATGACTACTTTCGTCTTCAATGCTTGCAACGACTCGCTCAGCTCTCCTCTCGTCACTTCTTTGCTGTTTTTTGTCGGTAATGCCGTGGACGTAGTCAACAGCGTACCATTCGACGGGAGTTAGCTCGTCCGTATTAGCCAGCAGAAGATGCTCCTCTGCATGCAAGTCCACGTTGTGTACAATGAGAGGTACTTCCAACTCATTAGGACCGCCGCAATACTTTTCATTTCTTTCCACCTCGTCAGCCACACTGGCAAGATCGACTGTTAGCCCACCGGCCGTCAGCCCATTCAAACTACTACTGGTCAAAGACCACCAGCTAGGTTTCTCAATCATCGACGCCATGTCCGACGGTACTGCAAGCAATTCTAATGGACTCATTTTGCCGAATACTTTTTCAGTGAGAGAAGCTCCCACGCTCAGCAACGATGCCTCGACAGTATTCTCACAGTGCAGTCGGTACACTGGAAGAGTGTCCGCACCACAAGCAGCCAATTTGGCCCAGCTTGCCCGAAGTTTTGCGTCACATGTTGCATTCCAGTCACCATCAACGACCACAATGGCTTCACCACCATATACTGACGCTGCCTGAATGCCGTCCGACGTGGACAGCCGAGTTGACGCGAGCGCCACACGAACAACTGGGCGATCAGCAAAATGGTAGAGTGCACGACGTTGCATGGCGCGCGAGCCGGTAATGCACACGCAACTAATGTTCAGCAGAGAAAGCAGAAGCTCTAAGACAGGAAACATGCCATGGAACTGGCAATATATCACCACTTTCTTGCCTTCTTGAAGCGCCAGTCGACGTAGCACTGGTTCCAATGCCTCTATTTTCGCAGAACAACTAGTCAGCAGCCGTAAATCAGCGTGCGCCAGCTTGTCCATATCGCTCACAAGATCAACGCAATTACAGATCCGACGTAAACGCAGTAAAAGTTGCAGCCAGACGCTCAGCCGCTGTTCACGGCCACTGGCACTGTCCAGTGTTGCAGTGAATCCGGCAAGCTCGTTTCGGTATTGCATGCTCTGGGACTGGCTAAGTTGGCAACCCAAGCTGATCTCCTCAATCTTGCGTAACTCCGGCTCGACTTCACTGCGAACACGCCGCAAACTGAGGCAAGACATGGCCAACAGTAAAGCATTCAAATGTCGCGGAGTAACGTCCTTCTGGGAGGACGCCTTCCACAAAGCCCTATGGACACTTGACGATTTGCCGTACGCTTCCATCACCGCTGCCACAGATGACCTCTCCACCTGAAGACCCTGTTTAGGCCAGCATTCTGTTCGATGCTGATGACTTTTACGCACGTTGCTATCATCAAGAGCAGGGGCTTCTCGCACCAAAAATTCTGCGTACTGCAAACGTAGTGCAATGCTTTTCCAGTTCTCAATCGACTGACCATTACACAAGACTCGACGCTGGTGTTGCCGAAGCTGTTGCAGCGCAGACACACAAATTGGGTCATCGAAACAACCACCATGCTCGTTTTCTACAACGACCATCTGCCAATATGGAAACGCCATAAAAGCTTGTCGGTCTTCATTGAATGCATTTACGGGGCACAGCACACAGTAAACAGGTTCAGCACGCTCATCGTCGTCCAATTCTTCACCATCGTCATCATTAAGTGAGGCTACAAGAAAATCGTCTTCACCTTTGTGAGCTTGAGCTCGAAGCTTAGTCTCCCATTCCCGTTGTAGCCGTTTCCTATAACGTAACGTTTTGCCAGCGCCATCATAAAGCTGAATACGCCGATCTGGGTGCCAGATCCGAAGATAATGCCGCCATTTGTGGAGCTCGTCGTCTGATACGACTATCAGATGCGGACCTTTTGTGTTCTCAGCCCGTGCACGCTCTGTGGTGGATGAACAAACCGAACTGCTTTCTTTCTGCTGCCTATGTTTATGAGAAGACGCAATCTCAATCAAGCTAAAGAAAGCAACAATCGTGGCTGCTTTGCCCATGCCGACTTGGTCATTCAAAAATATGTTGAGGCCACTCGAGTACAAGTCCAACATCCACCTCAATGCCAGAAGCTGGAAAGCGGCTAGAATAATGGTGGACCCTCCTTTCACCTGCGATGCAGTACACCGTGCCTGCAAATCTCGAAATGCCACCTCACGTAGAGACCGTGCTGTAGACCTATTTGTGTTCGCACATCCGGTTGACAAAGAGGTCATAGCACTGCGCGCTCGCTTGCCTGCACTCACGATATAATTCATGTGTGCTTTAGCAGTTGCTAGCACTGCTTCTGCTTGCACCGCCTCTTTTCCATCACTCCTTACATCGACCTCGCCGCGAGTTGCGATATCGATGGTATGGTACTTCAAGGGTAAAGTATCATCACCCACACCAACCACTTCAAGATCGTCGTGTTTGCGATGATCTTCCTGAACTGTGGCGTGCTCACCTGTGGCAGCATCATCCAAATCACCACGAGCTGAACGATCGCCTGCAGCTTCAAGACGCACTCGTGACCTTGCAGCAATCCGTTCCATCGTGCGCCAGAATGCCGAGATCTGTAGAGCAACGCTACGCGTCGTCTGACGATTGTCTAGTTCCTGACGTACGCTGCCTAAATTTTGCGCAACCATCACGTCAGCCGCAAGCCGATATTGCAGCACTCGCTTCCAGTTACGTTCCTGCGTAAAATCTGTCGCCATCCATTTCATCTCCTCTAGTAAGCAGTCCCAGTGAGTCTTGCAACGCGCTGGTGTTACCAGGCGCGGCAATTGTCGTTTCCTCGTCACAGGCAGGCTGCGTTGATTCACTTCCCGGCGAAGACGCACAGACTCGCGCAGTCTGTGCTCAAACTTCATATTCACATCTGCGGAAACTAGAGAGCTTCGGGGCGTTGTCAGAGAACGTTCAACACGCAAAACTTCGTTCGTACTTGCTGGTGAAGCTAGCGGAACTGGCTGTTGCCGGTAGCGAGCAGCTTCGCGATCTGAAGATTCCTCTTCCCGCCTCTTTTGCATAACATACTTGCTCGGAGGGGTCGACGTCCGCGCAACACAGTGCAAGGTGTTTTGGGTCAGAACTTGCTGGTGATCAATTGCAGCCCTTTTTAATTTGTCCTCCGTGGCGCTCATTGCAAAAGATTCCTGCCTGTCAGACTTTCCATTATGCTGCTGGTGCTCTTCGTGACTTGTCTTTGTCTTTTTGACAGGCGATCGGTCCATCTCGACTCGAGCTTCTACGTGCACCTGTGCTTCTGCCAGCCGCCGCTTTTTCAATACAATCTCTTCACATGGCTGTTCACCCATCACTTGCTCCGACTTTTCCGCAATCGCACGGCTTGCAAGAGGAGTGCAACCCGCTCGAACGATGCTCTGACCATTGTCGGCCTGCTTTTGCACCGACGCTCCAGCTCCACCATCAGCGAGCACTGACTCCTTCTTCTTTGGCTCGATCCTGCTCCTCCCGCCGTCCTCCTTTCTATGCTCAGACATTTGCGCTACGCTGGCTGCTGCTGCTCGCACCGCCTCTCGCTCGTCCACCAGCTGTCTACAAAGACGCATTCAACCACCCTTTGTAAGCACTGCCACCGTCCTTCTCTTGCCTCCAGCAGTCCACACACGACATACCGCACAAGCGATTCGTTATATTCGACAAGTTTGGCGCGAATCAACTGGAAAAGGACCACGCTGCGGGTGTCTCGGGTACGACTAGTTCCCGTCATCATGGGGTTCACTGCAGTACCAAAACGACCACACACAAAAATAACCGGTATCATACCGGTAAAACCTGTCAGTGACCATCACTCGCCAAATCCTCGTTGAACTGCCGCGTCGTACGTGCTGCGTGCGTCTCCCCCATTCGCGGCGCTAGTGCATCTACGCAGCAGACAGTACAGTACATAGACAGGACGTCAGCTCACGCACTCAAACATCAAAGGCAACTACATCAAAGGGCGTGGCCACGTGTATCCGAGTCGAGGCAAGAATCGCGTGCGGAATGAGGGAAAATGCGTCTTCTTACACGCAACAAAGTACTTGATCGATAGACAAGACGCTGCTCTTTCCAATGCAGCAATTCTCCCCTCGATCCGAGCACGGGAACAGGTCCAAATGACGTGTTCAAGTGACTTCAGCGACAGCTTGGGCCCCAGAGCAAGTCAGAGAGCGCGCGACACGCGGTTGGAAAGAGGAGATGAAGGAGATGAACAGATTGGGGAGGGAGGGACGCTTACCGGCTATGGTGGAGGACACTCTCGGGCGGCCTTTGCGCGAACACAAACGACTCGCGGACTTTCACGTTCTCTCCGAGCCCCGCAAAAGTTTCTCCCTTTTCATAATTATGCGGTTCGACAGGTTAACGGGCCGTCGGGTGGGAAAAATGGTTTTAGCGAATGACAAAAGAGGATGCTGCGTATTTTGGCGAATGAGACGTTCGAATCGATCGATGGCTTTTCATCGTGCACCGTGCAAGGCTGTAGCGTGGGTTGGATCCTGTGGCCGTGCAAACATCTCATGTGTTAGAAATGAGGAGGCTACGATACAGAAGGCATGATTATATTGTTTTGACTTTTTTGCGTAAAAGAGGGTTTATATGGTATAAACGATGAAAGGAGTTTATCAGTGGAATGGCAGGGGGACCTCGAGTTAAGAATAAAGCGATGAAACGCGTGTTACTCAATCGAGAATGCGTTTTCGCATCGGTTTCAGGCCCGATCTCAGGACTCGAGTCTGATTTGGCCGGGTTGATCCAGAGCATTGCGTTTGACAGCGTAGCAGAATACATGAGAGCAGTTGTAAGACTGATTCAAAAACGGTTGTTTTCATGATCGGAGTATTCAGAATGAGTTCGCAGGATGCGAACAGGACGGACGGTGTTTGAGTACGCACTTCTCACTACGTTGGTTGCATCATACTGCAGCACAAAAGGGATGCTAGTGTGTGGCAGTGTGATACCTGCATACTGTTCCACCGGTTGTCCACTAAATCAAGCCAGCGTCAGGTCGAGATGACAATGACATTTATATCCCGCACCATTTGTACTGATGCACGTTACCAAGTCTAAAACGACGCCTTCAAACATGTAGCTGTACGGGTACCGCAACAATCCAATGCGGTACCTATTCGACTGCATCAGAATAAAACGCTGATGTCAAGTGTGAACACACTGCCTCAAGATCGACGTTTCAACGATATTCGCTTCTCGATCTTTTGCGATGACAAGATCATTTTATACCAGCGGATGACATGATCCCTATAGCTGGGCGTAATCTTGGCACGAGCAGCTGTAACAATCGAAGGCAAAAAAAAGCGATCAATGGCCAACGACAGCGAGTACATGGGCCCGGAATCTGTTGTACCAAAACAATCGCTGCAAAAACGTTACCAACACGGCAAATGCTAAAACAAAACGAATGAGCAGCCTTTAGGCGTTGTACCGCTGGCGAATTGACCTGCCACTTCAAAAACGTATCGAATCGACAACAAGGGACAACGTATCGGGACCACGTCAGACTAAATCAGAATACCAGCAGCAAAAAAGCGTCAAAAAAGCTTCAGTCTCGAGCACATTTCACAAATACCGCGACACCAATTTGTGCCTCTGCTTACAAACGCACACTGCTACAATCCCAAAATCACGGTCGCTACCGCAAAACCGGTCAGTATACCGCTCCACTCGGACCGAACCCACCCTCACTTTAGCACCACCCTCCATTAAGCTCTTTTCGTGCGTAACTCCACCGCGACGACCATGGACTTCCAGAACCGCGTGGGCTCCAAGCCCGGCGCCGGGGGCGTCGCGTCTGACTCCCAGCAAAATGTCGACCGTCGCGAGCGGCTGCGGAAGCTCGCGCTTGAGACCGTGGACCTCACGAAAGATCCGTACTTTATGAAGAACCATTTGGGCTCGTACGAGTGCAAATTGTGCCTCACTTTGCACAATAACGAGGGCAATTACTTGGCCCACACGCAGGGCAAACGCCATCAGACGAATTTGGCTCGACGAGCAGCAAAAGAAGCCGCTGAAGCAGCTCATTCCACTGCTGCTGCTAATCTCCAGGCTGCGAGAGCGGCAGCTGCAGCAGCTGCGGCTCGACCGCGAGCCCTTAAAATTGGTCTGCCCGGCTACAAAGTCACGAAACAACGGGACCCGGATACAGATGCACGGATCCTGTTGTTTCAAATTGCGTACCCTGAAATTGTCGACCAGATGCAGCCTCGACATCGGTTCATGTCGGCTTTTGAGCAAAAAGTTGAGGCCCCAGATAAACGGTGGCAGTACCTGCTGTTTGCGTGCGAGCCGTACGAGACCGTGGCGTTCAAGATCCCCAATCACGACGTGGACAAGAGCGAGGGCAAGCTCTTTAGCAATTGGGACAAGGTCGGCAAGACGTTTACGCTGCAATTGACCTTTGTCGAGGGTGATGCGGCGACAAAGAACCAACCGGCACCACCTCCCCCTCGTCCGCAGCTACGGTATCTCTAGCTGGTTTTGCTTGAAGCTGAAGTCTTTGCTGGATCGCAACATTGACTAGTGTGTGGGGCGCACAAGAGCAAGCGCAGTTGCGAGTTACGAGTTCGTTGTACAAGAAGGAGTGACCCTCGTCTCCTGGCATGGATGTGTGCATTGATTCTCGGTCATCACTGCTACCACATTAGACACCACGCACCATCAAAATGGGAGCACGCTTTCGACTTTTGCCGACCAGTAGTATACTGTCCGATGTCTTCGCACTGGTATCCACAGTCAGCCTGATGCCGCTGTTGATTCCGTACATTTCATACACAACGTGCACTAAAAAGAGGGCCTCAATCGTGTTCCAGCCACTCTTGACCAAAAGCCATCGAGCCGCTTCACCCCCCCACATACCACCGACATGAACCGCCTTGCAATAAATGACCCCCACAACATTACCGCCGCCAATTCGGTATTCTCTCAGTATCGTCCCGATCCTCTCCCCTTCTCAAGTAAGTCGACACGAGCGTTTCTATCGACAAACACCATCGTTTCCAAAGGCTCTACGAATCTCCAGGTCGATTAGAAACCCATGCACCTCACTCACAGCAAACATCCCGGTGTCAATCCAAATCCACCAATCAGCTGTCGTCTTTGCATCCAGCTCAATTTCTAACGCGCGTGTCTTTCTACCCACCGCGACCTCGAAGTCGAGTCGCACTCATGGCCGACGACCTCCTGCAGATGTTCCAGAGCATCACGACGAGTGACCACGACGAGCTCGTTGACCAGTTTGCGCACTTACTGCAGCTGGACGTGCAGACTGCCACTTTCTTCCTCGAGTCGTGCAACTGGAACGTCGAGACGGCCGTGAATAACTACTTGGTTACAGTCGAAGCCGCTGGAGGTGGCCACAATGCGGCCACGAGAGACGCAAGTGAGGATTTAAGCATGGAAGACGAGGGCGAAGGAGCGCCGCGGCTATCAAGGAAAACAAACCAGCTCCATGTGGAGTCGATCTTGTATCAGGCGCAATGTACGAGCGACTTGTCCGCGCTACAGAACACGCTCTTGGCACCCGAGACGCCAGTGCAGATGGTAAGTCAGAGGACGTCGATCGTCGTGGATGGTGGTACTTTATTTCTATTTCTATTCGTATGCGGAGGCGATGGCTTTGTGCTAAAAAGCACTTTCTTGTGGATTGCTTTGTTGGTGTCGGGTTTGGTAGCACTGGAGCTTTGTGAATACGGGACATGAAGCGTGGCCGACGGATACACGGCTGGTGTTTGCACAAGGCACGAGCTTTCAAGGACCTGAGCAAATGACTGTAGCGCCGGCAGTAGTCGGACAGCGGGTAGATCTACACGCTCCACTGTGCATGCCGTCGGAGCCAGGGTCTTATGCTGGTAGCTGGAGGCTGCACTGTTCACGGGGATTCTTTGGCGACCCGGTATGGGTTGTTGTCAACATAGGCACCCACGAGGCAGCGGCGGCGTTTGCGTTGCAGCATCAACAGACGACGGGAGCACCGGCGACGGCGGGTAGCAGTGATCCGTCCAAGTTTCAATTGACTGATGATGATCTACAGCCTTCTTCAACTGCGGTGGAAGACATGGATCTCTAGCGACGTCTTGCTTGTTGTTGACACCTGAGTTGGATAAAGTGCCTCCTGACTTTGTGCGGCTCGTAGATCCCATTCAAGCAGGGATATAAATGAGAGTGTGAAACGCGAGAGGAGGGGCGACATGCGCTCACTTGTGATAGGACTGATGGTGGTGCTTAGCGTGAGTAAAAGTATACAACGTACGCGTGCTGGAAGTCACGTCTTTAACGTCTATACACCCACGGCAATAAACGCTGCATGACTCTCGAGTACCAATGTATAGCATTCATTATGATTGTTGTTTTCTGCCTTGTTTCATGCTACTCCTCTTCTCCCCGATCATCACGCCGCGTGATGTTGCTGCTCTCCTCATCCAGCTGCGTGGCACTACCATCGCACCCCGCATCCTTTCAATGCCGATAAGAGCAGCTCCACAGTACCTTGTTCAAGCCGGTCTGCTTCCCACTCAAGATGCCAATCGACGACGTGTGCAGCGCGATGCGACGCAGAGGAGGAACAGGCGCAGTGAGAAAGCGTTTAGCTGTACATACCATCTTACTCGTCCGTAAATCCCGTAACTTCCATATTTATCACCAGAGACAGCACGTCCTCTAACTCCCGCTTTGACTTGTACAGTGGCAAGTCAATGCGGTTGAAGCACGTGTGTGCCCGCGGATAAGCATGTTCCGGAAAAGCAACGGCCTTCAGCGTAAAGTGGCAAATACGCCCATCATAACTTGTTAGCGCCTTAAATCCCTGTACGGGCACACGTGACGAGCCCGTTGTAAATTGCAACAGACGCGCACGCTCCTCGTCCGAAAATGCCTCGACCGTTTCCCAGAACCACGATAACAGCTCTTCGGGAAGCTCATCCGAGACCTGGGTGTGTGCCTTCCAGTCTTCCACGTCAATGGATGGCACACCACATAGCACCAGTTCCAGCTCCTGGTAGTCAAACACGAGAATCAACTCTTGTGGGATAACCTCAAACACGCCAGCCATGAGGTGTTGCAGCTGTTCAGCATATGAATCCAGCATGATGTAGCGCAGACGCAGGTAGATATACTCCTGCTTGTTGTCGTCGCACAAGTCGATGTCTTTGCCACCTTCCTTCAAATCGATAGTTTCCACCTCACCGTTCAGCTTGCGGTTGGTTACCGTGAAATCCAGACCGAGCGCATCCACTCCATCGTTTTCTTTCATCCACTTGAGCGAATTGTACACTTCCTGGTCGAAAAACTCCAAGTCGCTGAACGAAATGGGAACACCAAGCAGGTGCTTCAACACAGGAAGCGCCAAGTGAGCCTTCATCAATTGACCTTCCAGCAAAGCACGCCCCAACAGCCGACCCGCGCCACGAAAGTACAACAAGTGGTCAGCCGAGGCTTCGACCGAGTTCGGGTTAATGACATACGCCAGCGAGTCTACGTGTGCGCACATGAACAGCCCGATCGTTTCGTCAAATAGACGCTCCGTCACGAGCGAGAACCACTCGCGCTCCAAGCCTCCTGCATCAATCGCAACTTCACCAATAAACTCAATACGAAGCGGCATGTGAATGTGCTCCATCTGCACACCCAACAACTGCTCCATCGACTCAACGAGGATATTCTCGCGATGCACGCGCATTTTCAAGTGCCCATCTTCCCACGGTTTAATCAGCGCCGATGTCTGTTCCAAGAACCACGCGTACTTGTCCTTAAACGGCAACGCCGCCACCTGTTCCAGTACCTCCAGATCCTGTTCCGAAATCTCGTAGCCACGGGACGCCACACGGGCATCCACTTCCCGGTACTCTTTAAACGTCATGCGACCTTCCGGATGACGCGGCGTTTGCGCCAATTGCGACACAAACGCCAATGACGGCTGATGGACCAGTTCCTTTCCAGCATCCGTCGTCCCTGCCACAGTACCAGCAGCACCTGTCCCGCTCTTTGGCGACAGCAGTCCAGCGTCTGTGACCGAGATATCGAGCCGAAGACTCGGCACCTGGACACTCTCATCAGTCGAAACTGCTTGACTCGTCTTGTCTGTCAAGGGTTTGGCATTGCCCAACGGGAACGGCAGCTCTCGCTTGGCCCAATAGCGTTTGCCATCAGTACCGACTTTCCGGACCCAGTCCTGTCGATTCCGTGCGCCCCGTTGACGGGCGTTGAGCATATTGAGCCGTCGAATGGCAAACGACCGCGTGCGGTTGAAACTCTTTTCCCGCGGGACGTCCGTCCCCACTGTAAACGACGTCGTCGTTGACGTCGTGGCACGGGCCGGCGGCGAGTGCAGGCCGAGGCTAAAGCCGCGCTCTGTGCCGCAGAGCACACAGGCTTTGGTCGAGCTCTTGTTCTGGAAGTCGCACACTTCGCACTGCCACTGCGTCGTCACTTCGTCCTGCGACTCTTGCACGTCTTGGCGCGTCATGGGCTGCCCGTCTTCCGTGTACTGGCCGCCCAGAAGCGGCTGTTGCAGGTTTTCGTCGAATCGCGCGCGGCGACAGCAATAATAGACGATAATTATGACCAATAAGCCGCCGGTGACATAGGCGAGCCACGTGGGCAGCGAGCTGTTGGCAGCATCGACGGACGGGGCCAGCGCTGCGTAGAGAAGGGGCGGGAGCCACCGCGTGCAAGACGCAGGGGAGGAGGAGGAGGGCAGACGCATGCGACTGGCGTCGTGGGCGAGGGGGCGGACGAGGAAGTGGCTACGCTTGATCGAGAACGCGGTTGCTTGCTTGCGTGAGGTCGTCCGAAAGTCGTAATAAGAGAGAGAGCGAGAGAGAGAGAGAGAGGGAGCGCGTCGTTTGTCAAGGGAGGAACGAACGAATGGGCCAAGTGGCGAGGGGTGCTGAAACTCGATTAGTGACTGGACGAAACGAGGGCGGGAGAGGCAGGGTGCCACGCGGTCATTGGTGCAAAAGGGACATCCCAGCGCGATGTGCCCGTCGTAGACGAGGATGATGGCGGAAGGGGAAGGGGACCGCGGGTGTTAGACAGTGGAGGGAGCTGACCTTTCTGTGCGTGTCTCGTGTTTTTTTGTGTGTGTGGTTTTATTCGGTTGTTTCTTCTTTGGGTTGGTGTTTTGGACCCATGCGTTTTTTTCTTCACGGGTGAACAATCGCCCAGCTGACTAACTGCCTCGTGTTGGGTGTGGTGACTGTTTACGTGTCGATACGTTCCTTGGACGACGAGAGTGGCTCATTCGTACTTAGTCGATCGTACAACACACGCCTTTTGCCATCTACCTACCACCGACGTAAATGTGCCCCGCAGCCGCGTACTGACGCTTCTTGTCGCCGTTATTGAGCAGTAGCGGCTGCTCTAACTTCTCTTGCATGCACGTCGTCTCTTGCGTCAACTTCTTCTGTCGTCGCCATGCAAAAACGAGCTACAAACGCCTCGGTCTTGCCGTAAACACGACTCGTTTGCTTCCTGGTCATCTTCGTAGTGATGATAATGGAGCTGAAAGACCGCGAGGACCAAGCTCGTAGCTGCAAAGCACGCACTCAGTAAGAAAGCGGTTTCCCATGCACTGAACGCGTCTTCTTCCTTGTCCGCACCAAAGATGTCGCCACTGCCGCCTTGACAGACGCTGCCGTTGCACGCAAAGCCTACGCGCATGTGCTCGGCATCAAAGAGCGTGTAGTGCGTCTTAAGGAAGACGTCTCCGAGGACCCAGTAGGGATCACTTGTCTCTTCCAACTGGAGCGTGCACCGACCATAGTCGAGACACGAGAGGTAGTCCTGAGGCTGCAGCAAAAAGACATTGTCGGGCACCATGCCAAAGCGCAGCACGGGGAAGTCCCTGAACGATACAGCGTTGCAGTAGACGCCGTCGCAGTCATTGTCGCCAGTGATCTCACGGATTACGTCGTTGAAGTCACTGGCTGGGATGCTGATCAATGACGTGCCCGTGTCGACGATAGCGTAGCAAAAGGGCGTGCACATCTTCAGAGCGGCTAAATTCTCGGGACTGGCCCCATTGCTGACGTCGGTGTCCATCTTGTCCGTATGACGAGAAAGCACTGAAAAGTCATTCATCTGGATCGTCCAGTACATGAACGAGTCGAATGGAGGCAGTCGGACCACAGGCGTGTAGTGGAAAGATGCATTGGGACCGACGACGGACAAGTCGTACCCTCCAAGATGCAATTCACTGCCTATGACAGAAGCTTCCGATGTGAGATGAAAAGCAAACATATTTGCCAAGTCGGCCTGTTGCTCTGCAAGTGCTGCAAACGCAGTGGGTCGAGTAATCCGAGCAAGGTGTTCGAACCCCAAGCCGAAGACACCATCGGCTAGAAAGGTCTGGAGTCGTGTACTTTCAGCAACAGCTACACCAAATCGGACGTGCGTTACCACGAAACCAGAAACAGTAACTGAGTCTACCCCCACAGTGCCGGACACGGAGCCGCTGCCGTACTGGCAAGAGAACCATGCACAAGAAAAGCAAAGTCAGAAAACTGTCATAGCAAGCATGACAAAGAAAAAATAAAGTGGCAGCAGGAAATAAGCACCAACCTCATCGTAGAACTTCTCTCTCGTGTCGAAAAAAGTCGTCGATTTTGACACATCGAATCGATGGTGGGGACTACAACTGGCACAATGGATACCGGGAATCCACGTATCACTAGAGCCAGTGTCAAAGGCCATGTCCACGTATTGCGGTGGGTTCCCAAATCCCACGGATCCAATGTACTGCACGTTGCCAAAATTCTGGAGCTTGACACGGTTTCCAGGACGTAAGGCTCCATTGTCCGCAATAACCTTCGGGTTTTCAAGCGTATAGTCAGTCTCTACACGAGTGCGACTCGATCGGTGCGCTGCATCTTTGAATACGACAGAGGTGGTCGGTCTACGAACGGTCTCAGGCCCACGTCTTGCGAGTGGTAATCGGAGCACTGCGACGGTAAAGTGCGCGTTTAATGCCAGTAGGAGGGTCAGTTGATGCAACAGCTGCATAGGGATATGAGGGGTCACTTATTTCGAGAAAAAGGAGGCAAGCGTAGGATGGGGAGGGGGGCCGTGGCTCATTTGAGACCATAGATTCGTGCTCATGCGACACGAGTGTAACGAACGGATGCTGATGATGCATTGCTGATGTGAGACTTCCGGACCATCGATTTGACGGTTGAAAAGCGATAACGGTATCATCTATCGAGCGGCGGAACTGGAAAGAATGCTGCGTCAACGTAACAATGAGACGCATTCTGTACGGCTCTGACAAAGCATGGCATCTTTTTGTGACCAGATGAATGGCAGAGTCTCCCTCCATCTGTTCTCTCTCGGTTGTTCGCAGAGGCAGAGATGCAACATCTAAATCTTATGTGTTTGCAAGGAGTGAGGTCTGCAGCACGACTGCCGTCGAGCGTTCGACCTCAAGTACTGGAGCAGAAGCGCTGGCTCCCTCGTAACCCGTCCATAACATGCAGTATGCATTGCAGTATCGTACCGCTTTCCTGGCTTGTGACACCACCTTCTTCAGTAGTAACACATCATTGCGACCATTACACGCTAACTGTGCCTGTTGCGGCGACTTGCTGCAAGGGACATGCTGAGTAATCTGTACGATCGATCCTTGTCGCCACAAGCACAAAAATATCGTCCACTTCTCATAGATCAATGCAAACGTGTAGAGCATTTCGGCTGTCGGTCCCTTCGCACCTTCCTCAGCACTCGGCGACCGAGCTCGTGTCGATATTGAGATTTTGCTCTAGCGTAGTACGATGCTGAGGCGGGATCTCCAGGGCGATATCGTCCATAGTAGATAGATCGACTGCTGTAATCTAGAAGCACGGACTCAGCTCAGCCACTACCTTCGACGCTACTTTGTCGGACGCAATTGTGCCGTATTTACATCAGTTCATGTACTTGTTTTGCAATAGATAAGCGCGTGCATTCTTTTGATACCTGTCATGCATAGAATCGACAAGCCATCATTGCCACTGATGCTGTTACAGCAGACCGGTTGCTGGGAACACCTGCACGCCAATAATGAAGATAAATCAGGCAAGATGATTGATGCACATACTTCGCGGTGCATGGCAGACGCAAACATACGACGAGTAGGCTGCTGCAGCTGTTGTGCAGACAAATGGATAACTACCGATCGGATCGACCCGGAACTTGATTTTCCACAACCTAGGAGAAGATTGCGGTGACACTTTTTGATACGCTCTGCATTATGCGGCAGGCCGAGAATCATTCTGCTGCAATTGTTGTGATCTACTTGACAGTAGATACCGAACCTCTAAGCACGCGCAACCGGTGACTCGGTCCAGAGACTCGTCGCTATCGGATGTGATGATTTCAAGGCTGGCTACACTTGGTAGTCGAATCGTACACCGTTATGGTTGCAGCGTCCACCTTTGGACAGAATGACCGTGAGCACCGTCTCTAGACTGAATTTAAATGGGTTGGAATGAAGGAATGCGCAAACACACGTGTCTGCCGCTCTTCTTGATGGATATTTGGATTCCGTTGTACTGACAAATCGGGGAGCAATTCGCTCACTACAGCTTCGTATCAATACAGCATCGCTCGAGCAGAACGATACTGCTCTTTCGATCTGACTGTTGTGCGTTGTTTGTGAGGTCGTCACGACCACCAGCGCTAGAAGCACAAAGCTGTGGGATTTAAGGTCTCCTCTGTTGATTATGGTGAGCTCGCTCATTTGATATTGTTTACGGTCCTGTCGTTGTCGCCAAAGAGTGCAGCGTAGATGTGTACTGAGTAGATCATGTCGGACATCATCACCCTTGTAGCCGTCTTCCGTCCATAAAACTGAGAACTGTAGCGGGATAGTTTGCGGCTTTTGTTGATGTGGCAGGTAGAATGATAGAAAGAACGAGTGGATCTTACAAATCTTGATTTTTTACAGCAGAAAATGATCTAGCTTCTTACACCGCATGTACACGAGAACTACACCGTGTTACAAGCTAGATCAGTTTCGGGGACTCCGCTCGTAAGTAAGGCTCTGTAGGGAATACCGTGGTACGGGTTGTTGTCGTTTAAGCAAGAAAAGTTGGTTGCTTGACTGACTCCGTTTTTATCCCAAGTCTAGCAAAATGAAGTCTTGGCTGCAAGACCAGCCGTTCGACTAAATTCACGAAGGCAGATCAAAACGACGAGGGATGATGGTATTGCGTATGTGTACGTTCCCCTCGATATAGTAGACTCTGCATGAAAACAGTGGTGATTGTCAAAGCTGCGATTTCGTTTGTGCCTGCTACCAAGACAACGACTTCCAGGCAAGTCTAGTAATTTGCTTCTATCTTTGAGGAAGGATAGTGAACATTGTGAGCGTGATCCTTGTCATTGTGGTAGTCGCGTACGTCGTACATCGTCCAGTGAACGCTGACCTGCAGCAGTACAGCTCATCCAATCCAGTCCATGTTTTGACCAACACTCAACATTAAATCATTGCAATAAACCTCATCGAAAATGCCGGCAGCATGCTGTACCATTGTGTACGCCGGTATGTAGAGACTCGAACGGAGCTACGAGTGTACAAAAGATCTCCTAACAAAGCACTACACTGTCAGTCTCTGGTCCCACCCAACCAGCCTACAGCTCGTCCTTCATGATTTTGCGCAGCTCGTAGGAAATGTGGATGGCACTTGGACGCTGGGCCGGGTCAAATGACAAACATGCGCGCGCTAGCCTCACGATGGAGGACGGGCATGACTCATTGAAGCTTGGCTGCAGCTTCCCTGCTGACACAAGCTGCAAAATGGTCACGTCCTGCATTTTACCGCCATTAGTATTGGTTGCATCGTAGAACGGAGCCTTGCACGTGTCCAGTTCCGACAGCACCACTCCAAACGAGTAAATGTCAGCAAACTCCGTGTAGTGTCCACCAAGAATGACCTCCGGCGCGATCCAGCGAGCCGTACCTACGCCGGCTGTCATGGTCTCGTCAAAGCTGCGGTTGCGCGAGATACCGAAATCGCTCAGCTTCGCACCGCTCTGCGCATCGATCAGCACGTTTCGAGACTTCAGGTCACGGTGAATAAGCTTCGGGTTCAGCGTGTGCAAGTACACCAATGCGTCTGCGATATCAATCGCGATCTGGCACTTCAGATTGGCCCACGTCAACGAGCTAGCACGGCTCGAGTCCAACAGCGATTTGAGGTCACCGCAGTCCATGAACTCAGTCACCGCCTGGATCGTCAGTGCGTTGGTCCACGAGACACCAATGAAATGGACAATCTTGGGGTGCTCGAGACGTGCCATCACCTTGATTTCTGTCGCAAATGCCAGTGCGTCCTGCATGGTTTTCTTGTCACTCAGCAGCCGCTTGATGGCGACATTCTCGTTCATGTATAGACCTAGCCAGACTTCACCGAATCCGCCACGAGAGAGCAGCTTAATCGCCTCTACATCACGGTGCTCAACCCGCACTGCAAGAAGATCCGGATCATCCCAAATCGACGAGCCAAACGTCGTGTCACCACCCGTAAGACTCGAGCCCATGTCCGTGCCAAACACTGTCGATCCGCCTTTTGTAGAAAACGCTCGACCGTGTTTCTTGCGATACCACACGAACGCAATGATGGCGAGCACGAACACACTGCAACCTACACCGAGCACAATGGCGAGTGTCTGACCGCCGCCGCCGCTGGACGACGACGACGTCGATGCTGCGCATACCTGCACTTCAGCGTTACTTAGCTTCGTGGCCGAGTAACCAGAGCCACACTCGGTAATTGTCACGTCGGCATCAAAAGCTGCTAGATTCTGCAACAGTGCCAGCTGCGAGTCTGACACTTGTACATTTGACAAGTTGCAGCCAACCATAGACAGGTATCGAAGTGCACCTGATTCTGCCATCGTGTACACATTGTCTGGAACCGACGTATAGGCGTTTCCGGACAGGTTCAGTGTCTGCAAATTGTTCAGCACAACGGGGAACTCCGTGAGCGTATTGCCAGCCAAGTTGAGGTCAGTGACAGTCCCAAGGCCCGACCAGACACCATTGGTACTGTCGGGCAATTCCGAGATATAGTTCAGGGACAGATCGAGCTTCGTGATTGCCGAAAACGTGCCCAACTGCTCTGGAATTTGGTTCAAATTGGTGTTCGTCAGAAACAGCGTCGAGTACGTTGTCGCAAGCGACACGGTGGAGAGAACGTTCCTCAAGTTGACACTGATCAAGAACATGCTGACAACGCCGCTCGGTGTGTCAAAAAAGGACTGGTCGAGCGAGATATTCTTGACCACGCTTTTATCGATCGACTCGCTCGGCGATCCCTGTACTTGGCTAAGTAAACCGAAACACACATAGGTTGCACATACAGGATAAGAAACACACATAGGTTGCACATACAGGATAAGAAAACCAACCGTGGCACTTGAAACGGTGACATAGATAGAGCGAGATCGTCGTCACTCCCCCTAACTGCGACTCTATCTCGAAATACGTACACGGATAGCGTTGACGGGCTGTAACTCAACTGGGCAATCTGCGTGACGTGCGCCATGGTCTTTTCGTCCGTATTAGCGTTCGCCTCAAGGGCCAAAAGCCACTGGTTCCCGTCCCATAACAACGTGTCCAGGCACTGGTAGGTCAAATCACACTCGGTGGCTGACCCGGGCACCTCATAGTCGCTCTCGTTATAGCACGGGCCACTGGCGCCCAGCTCGATGCATTCTTTCTGCGAGGGCGAGTACAGGACGCATGGCGTACTCGCACAACGCGAGGGGCAGCCCACAGACGTGAGAACGTTTTGTGTGAGCTCATTGCACGGCTCGGCTTTCAACTCGCCAAGCTGGAGCGACAAGAGCAGCGCCGAGAAGTGCCACGCGACGTGGTGGTGGTGGTGATGGCCTCTCATGGCGGATAGTGCGAGACGAAGCGCTGGGTTAGAGCACTGCAACAACAGCTGTAACTGCGACCGTAAAACGAATAGGGGAAGAGAACTGGATCGACGGAAGAGGGCTAGGGGAATCAGATCGCAATAGCGTCAGCGCAGCGGGAGAGGTGAGGTGAAACTGGCGCTTTTTGTTGTTGTATCGGGTCGCATCATCATGTGGACGTCTTTTTTTGACGGGGTATACACACGAAAGAATACAAACGGGTATACACGTGTTGACGTCGACTGTCCGGTCTCTTGTTGTCTATTCGGGCAAAACAACATTTGATTACGACATACCAGTCAAGTCGGACTTTTGCCTTCTCTATTTTAGAGCTGCAGAGTTCAGGTGGACGACCACGTCACACACAACGACAGCGATAGGTATTTCTGGTTTGAGGTGGTTCAAAGCTTAGACGACGATGCCGATAATGTCGTGTCACGTTTCGGATGAGGATGATGATGTTTCCGGAAGTAAGCTCGGTTTTGTTCGCTGTATCGGAGTCATGTAGTCAGGTCCATACGCCTCCGTCAAGAAGAAGTGCGGGTCGTGCACCGTGTCAAAAGGCATGCCATTGATCATTACTTGCGAGAACGGCTCGACCTTTTTTCTCGCCAGCAGGGAACCGTGGCTGCCTTCTAGCATCGCTACATCATAGTAACCTCTCGTGCCATTCTTCACTCTGTACAAGTCCAAGTACGGCACGCTGTACTCCGTCGTGAGTGGTAAACTGGGGTCATAGAGACGGGAAGCCAGCGGATGTGTTGGCGCCACACACACGCGCCAAATGTAGTAATCGAACATGTGGTACCCTTTCTTTCGAAGCGCTTTTTGGACCTGACGTGTCGCTCGGAATTTGTTAACGTATCCAATATCAATGTCTTCCGTGTACGGGATGACGGATCCATTTCGAACAGCACCAAGGAGCGAGCCATAGAGGATGAGCGGAATGTTTCCCGTCGCCAAAAGTTCGTCGTACACATCGACCAGTAACATGTGCAGCACGCTAGCGTAGCACAGTGACTCGGGTGTACGCACGTTTAGTAGATCCGTTCGATCAGCTGCCGTGCAAAAAGGGGTGTCGACACTTCCTGAGATCGGCAAGCAGTAGGTGTAGTCCTGCTTCCATTGCATCTCTTGTCCGCATAACACTCTGTGGGAACCACGAAACGTTGGCGCTTCGAGTGGACTCATGTCCTTCAATGCTGAATAGAAGCGGTGGCCCGAGTGGTACTCGATTTCACTGATGTTCGAGACCTCGGGCATGCACCAATCTCCAGTGGAGACGTTCAGTTCCACGGGCAAGGGCGCCCCCACCATCAGTTGAGTCTCCGCCACACACCCGAGCACCACGAGTCCGACCAGTAACAACACGAGAGCTGGAATGAAGGTTCTCTTCGTGTGCAAGTATTGGTCGGGACCCTGTTCGTTAGGGTCAATGGGAAGGGCTGGGGAATGTTCATCAACCTCATCATCGATCTCCTCGACCTCTTCATCGATCTCCTCGACCTCTTCATCGATCTCCTCGACCTCTTCATCGATCTCCTCGACCTCTTCGTCGATCTTCTCGACCTCTTCGTCGATCTTCTCGACCTTCATGATATTTAACAATGGACCGGAAGGAGGTCAAGAGCCGGTGGAGGGTCGACGATCGAACCACGTGTCGAACTTAGTTGGATTGATCGGACTGAGTTTCATGTTTGAGGTGGGATCGCTGGACGATACCATTGGCTGAAATGATACCTGGCCAAGACGAGTGGCTCGACGCGCGACGACTGACTGTTGTTACCAAGCAAAACTTCAGAGCGTCACGAGCAGTTGTTTGTACTAGGAGGACTCAAGTTGCTGTCCAATCAAATAACGTGCTTTTTTTGTACAGTCGGTCGTAAAATACTGACATTGTATAGTAACATCAACTGCTGTGAAGTTTTCTTCGTAAAAGTTTTAGCGAAAGTTACACGGATTTCTAAGTGGTTCTTAATAAGTTCGGTAGTACGCACGGCTGGAGATGCTCGAAGTCTGCCCCACATTTGCACCTTGAAATCTGAGGTCTGCTCCAATCACGGTAGAAACCGAGAAACCTTAAGCGTTCCATTCCAACTGGTGGTTTTACGTGTGCGATCTTGGCGATCACCCCCTGCTTTTACGCGCTACTCGATGTCATACTTCTATCGTTTTTATACTCGTCTTTTGCAGCTAACCCACAAGTGCGGACAGTTTTACCATGAAAGCGACAAGGTGCTTCTTAACCAGAAATTTGGCGGTGGCTCGGTAGGTGCCGTCATCGGATTATGTCTGTATGTACAAGCAGTGCTATCTATGCTTGATTGAGCCACCGTCGATTCATTAGACTAGCTGCCACGCTCCGATACATCAACATCTTGGAAGCTCGAACCTGAAGTAGCTGCTGCGATATCCGACGACTTAGTGATTGCAGTGATGAGAGCAAGCAAGATAGCAGTAAGCATAGTAGCTGGCAACAGATCCGTTGATCACAAGGGCAATGGTTTCACAGCATTCATCGTGTAGTCACCTGTACCGATGCAACAAAATTTGATACTCGAAGGGAGTCCACCATTGGTCTAAGAAATTGCTAGATGAAGCCCCTCACCGCTCTAAAAGCGCAAATCGTCAAGGAGATTGACCGATTGTCTTGCTGCAGTACAACCGTCGTGTGACTGCTCCTGCTTGTTATCTTTAGATGTCGAAAGAAAGGTACATATATGTTGAAGGTGTTGCATTACGATGATGATGATCCCTATCAGCTAAGCGCAAGACAGATCGTTGCACTTACAGATACGATACGAAAGCTGTACGTGCGCTTTCAGGCGCAGCATGCGAACCATTGATGCGGCTTGTTGTAACGATTCAACTTGTTCTGAAAAGGATACCTGCCATCGCGTGTAGTGCTACACAGAAGGAGCCGGCCCTTTGATCGTGCTCATGAGCTTGTTCAAAGTGTGACTGGATGATTTGTTAACCTGTTTGGTACCTTGACAAATAAGCTTCAGCTCTTATAATCAACGGAAAAGCAGCAGCCATCGACGACAATTTATCTCGTTTATTAGGACTTGCTGTCTGCTCAAAGAAATCCACTTTCGGTGCGATTAGCCAGGCACGATCGCAGCATATAGTAAACCTACATCCACTTCATCCGAAGCACACAAGCCAGAACGAAATGTTCTGATAGCAAAGCACGACTTCCGCAAGAGGCCTCAGTGTTACCGAATTAACGCGAGCTACAGAACAATTCGAGGTACATCTTTCAGCGATTCCCGTTTACTCAACTATACATGGTGGCCTTGTAAGCAAAGCGACGTGAAGGCGAAATGGTTGAAAGTGACGATGTAGCCAAAGCCATATGTCACGGTCCGATCATCACTTTTAGTCTATTCAGCAGACAGGTCGTAGCGCTGTAAAACGCAAAAGTATGTGCGTGCAGTGAGGTTTTCAGCAACCAATTGTTGATCAAGTGATCGCATTCGCACAGTTTGTAGACCTAGTGTAGCGCTGACGATCTTGAGCGGGTGTGCAGCACTATTAGTCTAGTCAACACGGATCCGACACATGAACGGATTGAGAATGATGTGCAAAGGTGTAAAGCAAATTGAAGGTGGTAGATCCCTCATACTTTACCGCGAATCCCTGGACACGATGGATTGCAAAGGTAGATTCTTGGATGAACCGAAATGTAACCAATTCACATGTTCCATCTAGCAAGCAAATGCCCGTATTTGCTATTGTCTGCTCCTCTCGCTATTCGGCCATTGCGCAGTCCCTGGTTCGTCCTTCTTTTTTCTTCGTGTTTACCACTCGTTTTGGGCACGTCACTTGATCACGTTTAGTACGACATAGCAACCTGCAGTGGCCGTTGCGTCGCTTGCACGTTGCGTGTCTGCGTCAGTAGCACTTTCGTACAACGACCAGCAAAATAAAGGGAAAAACAAGAAGCCAAAAAAATCAATCATTTACTTGCATGTGTATGATGAGTATCTTGTTCCACGACATGTATCCCGGTCCACGACGTGACGCACTTGGCGGTACGCGCAGATTGGTGGCTGCTTTCGATGCGAGTTGCGTAAATGAGATAATCTTAGCTAAGGATAGATGAAAAGTTTGTTCAGGTAGTTGCAACATCAACTCAATGCCACTTCGATCCTTTCGATACTGTCAACCGCTTCAATGATTAACAACGTTTTGCACCTCTTGTTGCATGCAAGAAATCGTTCTTGACAACCTCAGTGCCATCTATAACCCCTCATCTGCTAGCGGGGTCACGATTCATTTGTCGTGCCACTACCGTTGTTCGATTATCTACCATCATGCCACGCACCAATGCGTTCGCAATGCGTAGTGGATGCAAAAAAGCAGAGCGAGGAAGTCATGACATGTTATAAATGACGAACCTGGAAAAGAGCGCTAAGGACTAACCAGCAAAGCAGCCTGGCATTTGAACGTAACTTAATGTCAAGCTGTTCAAGCTGGCAACAACCCTTGTCCGCAGATACACGCAGCAAGCACATTTTCTCTTGCTATCAGCAGCACTTGTCGGTCCCTACTTCCGCGGCTTTGGGGTCATGTAATCTTCGCTGTACATCTTCCTCAAAAAATAATCTGGATCCGCGACCGTGTCGAACGACAGTCCGTTGATCTTCACTTGAGAAAACGGCTGCATCTTTTCATGAGGCAGTGTACTGTCACTGAAGCACTCCATGCTCCAGTCGGTGTCATTCAACTTGTCCATTGCGTACAGATCGAGATACGGCACCACAAAGTTCGACGTGATGGGAAGTCTCGGATCGTACAGTCTCGCAGCCAGAGGATGCGTAGGGGCCACACAGACCCGCCAGATGTCATAATGGAAAAAGTGGTAACCCTTTGCCACCAGAGCACGCCTCGATGTCGCCATCAACGTCAAGGGGTCCACTGTATGCTAAATCAGTGTCTTCGGTAAACGGGATCATAGACCCGTTACGAACGGCACCAAGGAGGGAGCCGTATACTAAAAGTGGAGTGTGTCCAAAGGCATGGAGCTCCTCGTAGACTTCCATCAAGAGCATGTGCAGCACACTAGCGTAACATCGAGACTGGGCCGAGTGTGGGGTCAATAGGTCCATGCGGTCAGCCCCGGTACAAAATGGCGAGTCCTTGCGGCCAGAGATTGGCAAGCAGTAGCTGTACTTGAGATCGTGTCGACGACTTTCGTTGCATAGGACAGTGTGTTCGTCTTGGAAACGAGGAGAGGCAAGAGGAGTTGCATCTTGGAGAAGCGGGTAGTATCGATGACCGGAGTGGTACTCGATCGCACTCACATTGACTACACTTGGACTGCACGTTGACTCCTGAGTAGATCCATTGGAGGCGCTGCTGTCGTTGATGTGGAGTTGCAGAGACTCGAAGCGACTGGAGACGATATTGGTCTCCATGACGACGTCGAAAGCTACGACTCCAGCCGTCAGTAGTGCCACAAGCACTAGCGCCATGCTGCCTCGACATCCAAAGCTAGGTTTTGCTGGATCATCTCTATAGAGCAATATCCTGGATCTGGATAGCAGTGCTGACGGATGTTTAATTGGTTTCATCGGGAAAGCTGCAGGATGACAGGCTGACTCCAGCCTGTCAAATAGGTTGCAAAAGCAGGAGTGAGGGGACAGAACAACCCAATCCAAAGTTCGCGCGCTGCTGCTGCTGCTGACGATGAACTTCCAATGGCGGAGCAAAGCACCAGATGACGCAACATGAAGCAGAAGCTGCAAAGGACCGTATCCTGATCTGCATCCGAATAGACGCTGGTCACCAGATTAAGTGATCTACTCTATGGACAGTGCGGTTCTATCTTTTCTGTCATCGCTCAAGTACACATGCGCTTCCATAACTGGCAGTCGATCTTTTGTTCGAATGCTGGATTCCTAATGCTTGACGACTGAGTGAAATGGCGCTGATGGATTCCAGGAGCACCACAGCATGCGCTCACATCTTGTTGACCTCAAGCTCTAACTGTTCCATTCGCCAATTGTTACGTGAGCTCTGAACGTCATATGCAATGAGTGGCTCTTGATGGTGTGGCATCGTTCTCGTTCGCATTAGGAGAGAACTTTGACTGGACGCTGTTGGTCTCGCTTTCTGCGGGTCATGTTATCAATCTACGGCAGCTAAAGGTTCTCAGCATGAGCGGTGATGGCGTGGATGCGTAAAGGGCATTGCGTGAGGACACAATGAAGTGTACCATACGTCTCGATATACACGATGCACTGTCAGGGTCAGCTAGCAGCTACCCATCAGGTACTATTGTTCCTTTCCATCATCACACGCAAAAGATGACCAACAAAAGGCTTTGATCTCTTTCTTGCAGCAAGTGGCCACTGTCCGTCGGACATTTGACTTGTAGATACCCTACATCTCGTCCATCATGTTACCTAGTTTGCAACAACACTGAACTGGTAGTCAAGCATGCATGACTCCTCCACAACTGCTTCCCACAATTAGCTCGTCCAATATGGGCACGCGTCAAGGCCTCGACGATTGCTCCGCTAATCATTGATCGAACATCGCAACTGATCTCAAATAGCCACATCAAGTCGTACCTGGTCGCAGTGATACAGACCCTCGCCTCCTTAGAGAGAAAAGACCTCTTGAGAAAGATCAGGCATGTCGTCTGCCAAAGCACAAAAGGTGCTCCGGAGACTTGAGTTCCTCATTCGAAAGACCGATCAATAACATGAATTTGACCACCGTGTTCATAAGCGTAGATAACGTTGCGAAGGAAACGCGTGCTGCGAAGATGAAAGTCCTGTCCTAGTCGCTGGTGTTGCTACGATCATTATAAAGCAAGGCCACGTTTTCGTGTCCGAGCGCTTCCGTCACATTGCCTGGCGCTCACTTTCACCGATCATGCCAAGCTGACCGGTTGTCCGCTAAAAGCTACAGACGTTAGTTCACGTCCATGCCGCGTCTTGCAAATTCAAGAACCTCTTCCATGGCGCTGGCAAAGAAGAACGTGTCTGCATTATAGGCTCGGCGGGCGTTGGCTCCGATTGCAGCTCGCTGTTCAGCTGTCGTGGACTTGACCATTTCTTGAACAGCTTTGCACACTTCGGGACCGCCGAATGATCCAACCAGTCCATCGACGCTTTTCAGACCGTGCGCCTCCTTGTAAGCGCCACCCATAATCTGCCTCGACTCCTCACGTCGCTCAACTGGGATCAGGAAGCCTGTCCGGCTCGAGACAATGAGCTCATTCATCGGAGGTAGATCAGTGGTGATAACCACCGCTCCAGCGGCACGTGCCTGGTTGATGTAGTGGCCATAGCCCTCGCTCACACTCGGACACATGAAAAATGCCGCCTCTGCAGTCAGCTTAGTGAACGCGGAGCGCTCGATCATACCTACGTTGACGTTAAGTGGACTACGACTGTGCTGCATCGATTTCCTCAAGCCGTCATTGATCGTTGCATTGAATGCCCCCGTGTCAATGTACACGTCAAGGGGAGGCAGATCAGGCTCACTCACCCAACACTCTACCAGCTGCCTTGTGCCTTTGAGATTGCTAGTGCCTGCTGTGTGGATGAACTTGATGGTAGAAAAGTCTTTCGGGGCAATAGCCTCTTCGCCCAGGCGTTTGCGAGCAAAGTCGGCCTGATCTGACGACGTGTGCTTCGTGTAGAACACCCTTGTATCGAGCGGGTTCCCCTCTTGTTCGTACCATCTCGTCACTCTGTCGTAACACACCTCTGTCTTGCAGAGCACCGCAGTCACTTTCCAGTAATCGTTGGCCGTCATTTCAAACATCTCAATGTTTGGCATCACGTAGATGGGTTTGTCCTTGGGCCAACGGGGCATCGATGGCACTCCATCCCAGTAGTGGTTGAAGAAAATCACGGGCGTTTTCGGGCACAAGTCAAAGTAGTCGACTTCGCGCCCGAGATCCGGATCAAAGAGCTTGACTTCGAGTGTCCACTGCAGCAGCAGTCGCGACTTTAAATCTATGCCCCAACAACAGGACGTCGTGAGTCGAGAGAAGGCCTTAGTATCAGATAACTAGATCAACCCATGGCTATTGACAAGAAACACTCACACTTTACATACGCCACGGCATCTTCACAGTACCCGTTTCCGTGTATACCAACTGGCAGAAAAATGTCCACGTCGGGGCATTGTCGAAGTTTTGCCAAGATGTCCGGGTCATCCTGGTGCATCAAAACCTCTGGGTTGCTTGCTGTTGCGTTCGGGAGTTGATAACCTGGACTCCCAAATGTCCACGGCAGTGAGGCACTGGGATCCTGGACACAATTTTCATGCAGTAGACTCAAGTGGAGTCGATCTGCCTCCAACACCTCCTTCCTACTAACCTTTGCCTCCTCAAAAGTCTGCACTCGTAAGACATTTCCTACGTCTCGCTGGGATCCAGATTCTGGAAAGTATCCGAACAGCGGCATCATCTGTAGTACGAGGGTGATCCATCCTAACACAACGAAAGCTGCTAAAGCGATCAGTAAGCGAGAGCGCCTGCTTAGTGGCCTCTGTGACCGTCTAGGTAGTTTCATCTGTGACGTCAAGACAGCAAGTGGGAACTGCTGGTCAAAGCGAGGCGTCTCTGGTTCTCACTGCTTTTCAAGGTATCTACTACTACTTTGCTGGAATGTTGCGCATGAATCGAATGGGAACGGGATGACTACAGACGTTGCATCATTGTGCGGAACAAAATCCGCATCACGGGACCATGCGCAGAGAATCGATCCATATTCGATGCAGTGCTTCGGAACACGAGGTGGAACATGGGTACGACGTACGTCCATAAAACTAATCGTTCCATATCGATGCATTACAAAATGATACCGACGTGATGACAGCACAGTTCCTGGACATGGGTTGGCACCATGCAAATGTGCGTTTCTTGACTAGACCAACGCACCTTCGTACACTGTATTTGTTACGCTTTTTCTACTTACGGGTTGGCAAACGTACGTAGCTTCTCCATCGCCTTTGCGAAGTACTTCGTATCAGCATGGTACTGCCGACTGGCATTGAGACCCAGCTTGGCACGTTCATCAACCGTCGTTGACTGCATCATACGCTGAACAGCTTTGCAGACGTCAGACGCCTCGAACGAGGCCACGAGACCCTCCACGTCCTTCAACCCCTGTTCTCCTTTGTAGTCGCCACCCATTAGAACCATCGGATGCTTGACACGACTCACCGGGATCAGCACGCCCGTTTCATTCGTCACCAGCTCGTTCATTGGGGGCAAGTCGGTCGTTACAATAACAGCTCCCGAAGAGCGTGCCTGATTCAAAGTGTGGCCGTAGCCTTCGCCGTAGCTCGGGCTTACCATATAGAGAGCCTCAGCTACGACCTTGCTAAAGGTTAGATGGTCATGCGTGCCCAATCGGATGTTCACGGGGCTCAAGCTGTGGGCAACTTTCGATTTAAACGACGGCGAGAATAAGCGATAGAACGGCTTGCGGTCAATGTACACGTCGAGCAGAGGCAAGTCTGAAGTATGCAGCCAGCACTCCAAAACCTCTCTTGTGCCTTTCACAGAACTCACACCAGCCAGGTGAGTAAACTTCACCTCAGCATAGTCCTTGGACGCCACGGCGTATTCTCCCAAGCGCTTGCGAACCAGCGTGGATGGACTAGAAGAGGTGTGTTTTGTGTAAAACACGGACGCATTGCGCGGGTTTCCCACTTGCTTATACCATTGCGTCACCCGATCGTAGCACACCCGTGTCTTGCACAACACTGCATCAACCCGAAGGAAGTGCAAGGGCGTGAGCTCCATGATTTCAATGTTAGGCATCATGTAAATGGGCTTGTCACTTGGCCACCGAGACGTCATGGCCACGCTACTCCAGTGATGACCTAGGAACAGCACGGGGGTCCGGGGACACAGACTGAAGTAATCAACTTGACGTCCGAGGTCAGGATCGTCCAACTGGACATCCAGAACCCATTCCGGAAGTAAGCGTGACTCCAAATCTACACAAGAGCAAACACGAGATACCAACATTAGTGCCAATACAACCACATCAAAAAAGGGTGGTATTTCTAAAATAAAACCATGACTTTAGCCGTACATTTGACATATGCCGCGGCGTCTTGACAGTAGCCGGCAGTATGTGATTTATGAGGTAGAAAGATATCCACGTCTGGACAGTGACGAAGTTTCGGCAACAGATCGGTGTCGTCTTTGTGGACCAGAACGTGAGAATTGTTGGCTGTTCCACCCACAAGTTGGTGCCCGGGTGCCCCGAATTGCCACGACACCGAAGCATTGACGTCGTTCACACAAACTTCATGCAGCAAACTCAAGTGTAACAAATCTGGAGCGGGAACTGTCTCTTCCGGTGACAGCGTCGGGAGGCGATAGGGCCACGCCAGCTGACGCAGTCCAACGAGGTGATCCCCTAGAGGTCCTAGCAACGTTATCATCTCGGTAATTACTATAAGAGCCACTATGCACAAGATTGGGGCTAACACGAGACACACGCGGCCCTGGGGCCTCTGAGGACGTTCAGCTTCCCTCCACTTGGTCATGACGTCGAGTATTCCGATGTCCCAATGGCGAAATGGGTGGGGCTTGAATGACTGTGGACGATGACTAACGACTCTAGTTGTTTACATGTTGACTTTTTATCGGTAGTGATTGGTACAAAAGAGGGCGGTGGGGTGAACGCATTTACGCTTATTTGCTGTGGGCTTCTCTAAATTGATCGTTTAGTGCGTTTTGAGGTTCCGACACCCAACTGTTTTGTTCAGCTACCTGATCTTGGCAGACGAGACTGGGGAGACCTACGGCTCGCAGCAGTGAACTTTGTCTCGTCGCGACATTACTGTCGTCATCGTTTGGCGTACCACTAGCTTTTATTGCCAATGTTTGCTATGGTTTGAGATCGATGTTATGCTGGAGGGTATGCATGATAAGTGCCACTACTAGCCAGGAAACGGCAACTCATTCGCCGTGTCAGTGCATATGAAGTGGAGAGGACATCAGGTGTGCGACTTACCATTCTTTCGTGCCACTAACCGAAGGAGTTTCTTACGTGGACCTGTGGAGACATCAAGCGTGCCTCAATATGAAGAACAAGTGGATTGGACTGAGTGCAAAACTTCGCTGAAGACTAAGCACCATCAGCGAAGTTGTGGTTTCTGATGTCTTTACAAGCCACACAAGCTATATCATTATCTACAACTCACTCGAATCGTTTGCGAAGACTCTGCGTAGTTGCGTTCTCGAACATTCACCTCCATGCAGTTTTACACTCGGGCATCCACCACGTCACAACTACGTCCTACGTCACAACTACGTCCTAGTTTCTTCAGATTCCATCGCATACAATTACCATTTGTATACGATGAGATGCTGACGGACGAGCTCCCAAAGCCGATGTGATCTACGAAGGTCTTATGCGTAGATGTACCGGGCACACGCTTCTAACCAGATACTCAATCTCATTGCATGAGTTTCAATTTATCGTCTGGTTATGACACCAGGCCGCTACGATAACTACCGCTCCGCGCAGACGCATCCATTTGTCGGCGACGCTTGAGCAATGAGCACGCTAAGCGACTCTACGATCGAGTCAATACAGAGTCACCAAAGAAATCATGAGCCCTACAGCAACGCTTGTAGTCGCATGATCGTAAGCATAGTACACAAAAAATTGTGAGTGCAAGCGAGCCACGTCAAAGACGACGATGACATTCATAATGTGTCAAGGATCTGTTCTTTAGCGTGACGCAGTAGCTTTGGCGCTGGCGCATCTTATTGAATCATGGTAAGATTAACAGTAAGTTTGCGCTCCACATGCAGTGGGTTAGCAACAAAAATCGCAAAGACCACCACAAATAACTGATGACCATCCAAAGACACTCCAACGCATCCAGAATTGCAAAACTTGCTCACCCGAGTCTACGTAAACGACCACCAAGAATCTATAGTGTACCGCCGCAACGTGCTATTTCGGTGGCGGATATGGCTCATGTACGACCACAGTCGCGAAACTTGCATCTCATGTGCAATAGTAACGCTATCGATATGCTGCTTCTGCTCAGCCATGCCAGCTTGCTTGCCGCAGTCTTCTGGTATTGTGTTTGCTAGCAGGTCTGTCTCGGTGTCTTCAACAAACGTATAGTATCTTTTCTTTACGGAGTCATGTGCAACGCTATCACGCTCATCTGCTAGACGATATGTGCGATTAATCCGCGTCATATTGTAGACGGTGGAGGCCAACCCAACATCATCTATAGACTACTTGACATTACCCATTGTTCGAGCAAATTTGGGAATCCATTTACCCTACAATGCTATGCACGTTTCTCTTTTTTAATATTTCCTCTTTTGGGTAGATAACAAACAAATGCACCAGATTGTAATCATTTATTACATATCGTGTCAATATTGACGTTCCCGACTCAGATCGCGTCACCCCTACCCTGAGTCCAGTTCACTCCGCGCGTCGTCGTAATTATTCCTATTCAGAGAGAAGTCCGTCCATCGAGTCGCCGTCGACGATCTACAGCAGCATCAGCACATAACAACTCAAATACTTTCAATCGTAAAATGATATGGGAACAGGCTCTGGAGCTCGCCCTTTAGTAAAGTAATCCGGTTCAGATAACTAGATCAAGTTGCAAAACACTATACTTTAACAGTTGCTGTAGAATTGATGCGATGCTGCTAATGTTGTATTGACCCAGTACAGTAAGGTAGGCAACACGATCTGCCTGTGCTAATGATCGTCCAGCATTTGCTTTTGTAAACATTTTCACCTTCGATCAATTTTAAGCCAATCAGGTGCGTGCATCAAAAAAAAAGGGACCTGGCCAAAGTGACCTCGGATATGCCTATATACCTATGAGGGGGGACAGGCTAGATCGCACTTAGTACGTGCAGCGTACACCTAACCGCGTTATTTACAGACACCACACACAGATAAGTACGATTTGAACGCTCGGCATTCAACCTTGCGCACAGTCACTCATAGCTTCACCCTTCGGGCTCGCAATAACTTTCATACCCGTCATAACGAGTTATGGGTCACAGCACCAGCCATAAAGCACCAGTAACTCACATGGACAATACCAAGCCGCGTATCGAGACTCATCGACAGTCAATCCGTGTACGAATCCAAAGTATCCTCGCAGTTATCATAGGTGCAAGTGTATGCACGCTAGTATTTGAGATCGTGACCCTAAATGGTTCCCTAGATACAATTCGACGTCTGGCATTTTTCCAAAATATTCATCCATACAAAAAACCAGTCACAGACTTGACCTCGAGGATTTTTACCGAGAAAGATGCCGAGCAAGACACTCTAATCGAGTTGCTAAATAGTATGGAAAACAATGCTTTGAACAATTTTCAAGACGATCAAGAAGTGAAGTCTGCGGATCTGTATCATCTCAGTTTATTACATGGAGCGTGCGTAAACTATACGGACGCTATTGTTTCGTGGAAATTTGGAGCTCCAGGACCACATCAGGATGAGGAGGCGTACCGCATGGGTACCCTGGTGAATGAAGACGATGCAAATTTGCTCGAGAAACTAAAGCAATGTCCAGATATAGACTTGTTTCTGCCGTCCAAGTTGCGGGGCTATGGCTACTGCGAGGATGCCATGGCATATACCAAGTACCTGCACACAAGAGTCTTGCCACTATGGGCGGTGACGAAAAAGATGTACGACCCCGAGTCGCAACGCATTGTGGACTATTTTGATCTGTGTCCAAAAACACCAATGCTTTTCTTCCAACACTATTGGGAAAATATTCCATCGTCGTCGCGGTGGCCGCGGCAGAAGAAAATGTATTTGATGCCGAATATTGAAATGTGGGAACTCGAGTCAAGCCACTACTGGAGAGTGGATGTGGTGCTGTGCAAGACGCGTATTTGTAACGAACGGGTGACCAAGTGGTACGAGCAAAGAGGCAATCCGAACGACGCCAAGGTCATTTACACGAAGCACACGTCGTCAGACCATGCAAGCTATGCTCGACGCGTTCTTGGAAATCAGGTGAAAGCGAAGAATTTCACCGACGTGCAGTTTACTCACACTGCAGGTGGTAGTATCTGGAAAGGTACGCGGCAGGTGATTGAGTGCTGGTTGTCTCGACCTCACTTCCCTTCGCTGGATCTGTACGTTCGAGATGATTTGTATGAAACGATGTTCAAAGACGCGTACAACAAGCGCATTGCTAGCAGTCAGATCCGGCTCAACACTGACAACTTGAACACCAGCACGTTTCACAAGGCAATCGCTCAGAGCGCCTACTTTTTGTGTCCAAGTCAGTTAGAAGGGTACGGACACTACTTAAACCAGGCGCGCGCATCCGGCGGCGTTATTGTCACGACCGATCTGGATCCGATGAAGGAATTGATCGAAAGCGACAAGATGGGGTTGAAAGTGCCAGCACGATCTATGCACGACTACGACGCTTTCTTGGGTGGAATGAGCTCAACAAAACTTGGCCTCCGAGATGAGCCAGGCATGATGGCTATATTCACAGCCGACGAATTGTGTGTGACAGTAGAGCACCTGCTGAACGACTACACGGTGGATCAGCGAAGAGACATGGGCAAGAATGCTCGACTGCAGTATCACAAGGACACTAAATTTTTCGAGCTGGCAATGCTCCGGTTACGCATTCTTGCGCGACAACATGCAAGTGCATACAGCGATAACGATAACGGCATTGATATTATTACAAGCGCACCTCGCAGGCATATCCGAGACGGATCTACGGTCCGTTAGTGAAGCCGAAGAAACTCCAGCACGTGTTCGACAGCAGACGCGACTTTGTCATGTTAACAGAGATGAAAGTCAGATCAAAAGTGCGCACTAGCTCTTGATTCTTGAACAACTCCATATTAGCTGACCTCATATTTCGAACGCTTGCTTGTCCTTTGCAGATTGACCGCGGTACAGCAGAGCCAGGAGGAGAAAACTCCAATGTAAGTCTCTCCAGAAGCAAATTGCGGTTGCGGTGTTCGTGATGACAGTAGAGGCAAGTCACTATTATACCCGTACAACTCTACCTCAAGAAGTGTCATGGATAAAAGTCATGCCATGACAAGCTTGTACATTCGGCCAAGTCAAGCCTGGATGACTCCTGTACATCTTTCGATCGTATATGGTCCCCTGGCTGATCCAATCGAGTGCGCTTTGACCTGTAACATGAGCCCAAACCTGCGCTGTCGTGCATTTTCATACTAGCGGAAGGACCAGTCAATGGTTCAAATGCACTCGAGCCTCTAATCGAGGCTCAAGGTAGCCTTTATTATCCAGCGTATATCGAAGCGTTTTGTAAGAGTCATCTTACAGTCGGTCGACGTCAAAGAAAGGTAGACAACGGCTTCGACCTGCAAACCTTGACATCGAGTCATTTGTCGCTGTCCTTGTTCAACTCATTGATTCTTTGCCTCGGTAATTGGTTCCACCAAGTATTGTAAGGTAAGCATTTGACGCCGAGATCAAAGTTGAGGGCGAATGAGGAACAACAAGTGGCAAAGACAGTAGAAGCGTCACCATGAAAACGAACGGCATACCTATTTGATCGGTTGACAGATGACAGCAGCAGTTTTTGAGCGTCCAACCTCTCTGCCGATGCAGCAATGTCAATTGTTATTCTTGTTGATCTCGCGTCTCTACTAGAAGACACCACCACCACTACTTTGCACCATAGTGGGCGTGCACTTGCACGGTTCACACTAAACTAAAGCTTCTCTTTCACACTGAAACACTGGTTCAGGACAATTTTAGTCTTTGTTAAGGAGAATTCGGCATACCACGTAGATCCAAAACGTCCTTAAACGCATCTCAGCAAGCGTGGGTAGTTTTTCACCTGAATCTCGATTATTGCTGCACTACGTGCTTTCAAAGAGCTCGCGTTGCTGTGAAGGAAGTACCTGGGCATGGCGGTCGACAAGAGAAAAGTGGTCGATAGCTGCTGTCAGACTACTACGAGAGAGAGTGCCATGAGATGGTACCCCAACAAACGACACGCGCACGTCAATACAACGTGCTGCGTAGCCGGCATTTGTTTCCTGTGGATTCACGCGTGATTAAGGCGTATGATCAATCGCATCAAACTCTGGAGCGATGCAAGCCTAGCTTCACAAGTGTTTTCACGAGGTTAAGATGAAAAGCTTGACTTTGTCAAGTACTTGTGAAGTCTGAGCACGTTTTGCTACGACTCGATGGAGTTGTGCCGATCTGTAATGTGCACCCGGCACTTACCTACCACGACGTACGTGAACGAGTTCCGCCTCACTGGATTTAGCTTCTACGTCTATAGACTACTACAACTTGTACGAGCCCAGCACAAAATCGCTAGTGATCTCGTCGCGCAACGACGTCAACAGTCAAGCTTGTGGATAGTCTAGGCATTCGGTTCAGTTTTCTTTGCAATACTTATGACCATGAGCACGTGCTGTTCGCCTTCAAGCTACTCCGTGTCCGTGTCTTTCCAGGTTATAGACGCGAGTCATCGTGAAAGCCCCTAACGTCAGGTAGGTAGGTAGGTGGACGTCAAACAAATGCCGCTGTTATTGTCATCTACCGCTACAGCTATAAAGTCCCCGACTCGATGGTGTGCTGCTATAACACCAACGTCCTATGCGGTGCATCCTGCTCCAGCGTGAAAAAAAAGCTGTCAGCCTCGCAAGCAGGTTGTCATCCGTCATCTTCCTGCTGAAATACCACCCAAACACCGCGACAATGTGGTGTCATGATGACAACGTCATGCTTGTACCTGCCTCCACACGAAGCAGACGTCGATATGCCGTGGCGGTGACAAGGTGCAAAATGAGCACGAACCTCCTGATAGCAATGACTAGGTCAAGCTGCCGCCACTGCTGCAACCTTTGTAGAGGCAGCGCAGTAGTAGAGATGGCAAACATGAGCAAAGCACAGCTGTCGTGAGGGTCCGTGATCCTCCTTTACTTATCGTCGTCGACCGAGAAGAAGTACTGGAAGACAACAGCGTGCACGTCTCGCGGTCAGTGCCGTTCACGCGACCTTGAGAAGCGGTTTGAGACACTCGTCTCATTGAGACCTAATGACACGCACACACGCGTGTTACATCCATCCATCTCTCCATGCGCGACCCGCTCATTTCGAAAGAAAGGATTTGCACAAATGCCTGTAGTAGCCAGGGACCCGCGCATGGTCGTCGCTGGAAAATACATTCAGTCGACAGAAGCGAGAGTGCCTTGAGATGGGATGTTGAAGGGCGAGCGCCATGCGTAACATAAGTCTCTGCTAAAGACGGTGGGACTCGTCCCATGTCCTGCTCTTTTGCGGGGTACCGTCAATTGGCTAATGCCCATGTCCAAACAAAGACGAGGAAGTCCTCGAGTGCGACATCTCGTCGTGACCTGCTGTCCCATCGGCGGACGATTATGACCGTTTCCACTTTCCAACTTGTCGACTGCTCGAGACAGCGAGCGAGCGAGTCAATCCATCCATCCATCCATCGACTGTCGTAAAGACCCGATTAGTACTGGACTTGTCGACTGTCCCCGCGAGCAAATGAGTCACCGGTTTCCACTGCACGACAAGGTGTTTCCTCCGCTGCACTTGTCCGAGTCGACCAAGGCGACATTCGTCGACATGGCCCACCAGCAGCTCACCTTGGCGTTGCACGACTACGATAAGTACCGGAGATGGCAGGCGTCTCGACCCCCGAGTCTTCGGCACCAGTTGCATCCAGCAATGTGGAAACCTGTCAAGTCCTGTGAACAGCTCACTGTCTACCGGCAAGTCCCGAGAGACGATGCCGTCGTGACGATTCCATCGAGTACGAAGCCCCGCCGGACACGGAGTCGAACTCTGGACGGCATCGACTTGCCTCCCACGACTTCAATCGCCACGACTGCAACCACGGACTCGGTGTCGTCGTCTGCTTCATCGAAAAAGTCCGTCACTGTGTCCTCGTGGACGATTCCGAAGCGAGGGTCAAACCCAACAGCTACTAGAGAGTGGCTGCTGCCAACGTTGCTGCAGGTCGGAACCATTGAAGGGACGCTGGACGACGTCATGTACGGCTTGACTTCCTTTGACGCTGCTGGGTCGTTGATCCGCTCGTCGTACACGGACGAAGAGGTCGTGGACGCCGACACGTTGCATCAACTTCAGGGACCAACCCGGAAGGAGCCATTCCGGTTCCTCGGACTCAAGTGGGTCGTCCGATCGGCTTCGTCGACGGTCAAGGCGTTTATCTGGCCACGAGACGTGACCGTCCTTGCATCGACTGGAGTGCTCACTCGTCCAAGTGGTGAACGCGTGGGGTATCACTTGATGCACTCGGTGGACCTCGGCCAAGGCTTTGGTCCGCTGGAACGAAAGCGGATTGTTCGTGGCCAGGTCTCGTCGTGTTATCTGTATCGCCAGACGTCGACAAACACGGTGGATGTCCACATGAAGACGAACTTTGAGCCGCATGGATCAGCTCACGAGAGCGTCGCGTTCATGTTTGCGGTAAACAGCCTCACGTACTGCTTGAAGTCGGCCATCTGTGCGCAAAACAAGAAGTTGTCGTGGCTACTTGCTCGCCCCAAGACAGCCGAGCCGCAGAGTGGTGCGTCCACTCGACCGGACAAGATCACCGTGAAGAAACAGCGCTCGGACTGTTGCGTGTGTACGAAACCCATCGGTCCCTTCTCGCGAAGCCACACCTGTCGCGTTTGCGATGCTCGAGCCTGTCACACTTGCTTTGTCAAGAAGAAGCTGAGCTTCTCGGGTTCCGGGCACAAGACAGTGGAGCAGCGCTCGGTTGTGATCTGTACGCACTGCCTCACGCATGCGCGAAGGTTGGCGTCGCTGGACATTGCACGACAGGAAGTTACGCAGCGTGAGCGGTTGGGTCGAAGACGTGGGCTGCTTCATCACGGCACGGACGCGACGTCACGGAGCCGGGGTCGTCGTAGCAACAGCCGAGTGAACAATCCCGGCAAGAATCGATCGACGAGACACGACGATCGAGACGAGTTGAGAGCTGCTGAAGCCGAGCGGAATGTTCGCTCTGCACCGGTGCGACGGGCGAGTCGACCGCTACTTCGGGCCCGTTCGCTCCGAAAGGTGACGTCAAGTACGAAAGCCGCTTGGGATGACAACGCCGACACGGAAGACGACGACGATGATGATGAGAAGCAGTCGAAGTCGAATCGGTTCGCCGACGTTCAGCCTCGTACGAAGCACCGATCAACGCAAAGCGATCGTGGCAGAAAGATCGTGCTTGAACCCGACGTCGTCAGTCCTGTGCTGGAGGATCGAGAGCTGCAGAGTCTCGACATTGACGTACAAGCCGGACGCAGTTACGTCGTGAGTGTGCAGGCAACTGCTGCAATGCCGATGCCGGATGACTTACTGCCTGAAGCGGTGGAGCAGTACGCGTGGGGGGCAGTCGTTCCCTCGCCGGTGAATTATCAACCGGTTGAGCCTCAAACGGCGTGGCCGTCACCTCCGTCGTCACCGTCTAGTTTGCTGTCACTGCCTGAAGGTGACCGATGTACTGGTGCGATATCGCAGGTACCGCAGTCGTCCATTCCTCGTATCCAAGCAGGAGCATCGACGCAAGAAGTGCTCGCTCCAGTTTGCCGAGCTTTGCCATGCTGCGGACAATGTGTACTGGGCAGCGAAGATGCACACGGTGGACTTGCCGGAGCCGACGTTGTTCTCCAAGCGACGAATCTCTCGACTGGACATGAGCGCAGTGGACTAGAAGCATGGCTAGGGTGTCAACTTGCGACGTGGGTCTAGGTAAACCCCATGTATTTGGTGCTGCACTTGATGGACAACTTCAACCTGTGTAGCCATTATTATCACTATTAACCACCACTTTCGACTACAGCAGTGTGCTCCCGTTTGACAAGAACTATATCGTCCATCGTCGCTCTTTATACCGCCAATAGTCGTCGTGTCACCCATTCCTTCTGCTCTCACGCTACTACAATGAGCTCATTACTATCCTGTTCATACCCGTTTCCTTCCCTCTCGTGTCACTTTCAGCAACTAACTCAACACCTGCTTTACTCTCTCTCACCGCCCTCCTCCTCCTTCCTCCACCAGTCGGTTGCGGCTTACACTTCATACGCTTGGAGCGTAGTAGGCGCTTTAGCGTGGATTTGGTCGCACTTGAGCTGAACAGCCATCTGACGAATCACACTGGCACTACGCAAGCAACCCATCGTGCGGTCGTTCTTGCCCGAGCCAGCGATCTCAAGACGGTCCCGAACGTGCTTGCGCACTCGGGACACGCGATGGCCAACAGCCACAAAGCTAAACACCGCGAGCAAGAGGCAAATGGCAAACGACACGAATCTGCCACTCAAGAGCGCAAAGATCGTCAATAGCACCAGCACCAAGCGACTCGCATAAGCAAGGAGACCAAGTGACAACCCAAGAGGGTACGACTTAGTAAGACCCAGACGGGTCTCGAGCTGGGCCAATGGAAAGCACGGACAGCAGGAGACCCACCAGTAAAAGGCCGTGCGCCAATCGCCATCGTCAAGTGTGACCGTCCACTCGTTCATGCGGAACCCATTAGGGTCAAAAGCATTTGACGCTGTATTCGGAGTCTGTACCTTGTGGTCGGGGGTCAGTACACTCACGTACTCGTCGTTGGTAGAATTCTCTCCGACAAAACCCGGCATTGCGGGCAAGCGGGGTTGAGAATGGTGCGTCTTGTCCGTCATAGCAAAAAGCAACTCGGTGGTTCTTGAGGCGTTTGATGCAGACTTGGTGGTCAGAAGTCGTGCAGCTTGTAGCTCTTCTTCTTCTTCTTCTGGAGCACGTGTCGCAGATGCACGGACGTTGAGCGGGGGAGGGGTCCTGTGTCTCGGACCGTGGAATTCAAAATGAGCTCTCGAGTGAGTTCCTTTTTTTGTTTTTCTTGTTCTGGGATGATGCCCGTTGGTCGCATCAAGCGACATGTTGAACTTGGATGGGGCATGCACCTGCGCAAGTCGATATACACGTGTGACAAGAACAACAGACGCAGTGGGGGAATCGACACCTACGATAGTTACTAAACTTCGGATACGAACTGATCAAGAGAGTCGCACAGGCTGCGCTTTGTCCGAATGAAAACGGGACAAAAACTGGCCATGTAGCTCCATCTATTATGGGCGCAGGTAAGTACGTCTCAACGGCTGCGGAACTAGAATTCGGACAGGAGCAGGTATACGTCGTATACGTCACATACGGCGGCTCTCCTGCGACATGGTGATGCACGCATTTAAGTATTCAGTCTCAGGAACATGAAATCAGTGAGCCTGCACTTATCATCATTAACTGGAAGAGACTGTTCTTGAAAAGGTATCCTGTCGTAGCGACAATAGAAGATGCGAGACCGTGCGAGCGTCTGTATACATACACATTCGTATAGCGTACGAAACAGCCAGGACAGTCCCATGAGCACGCGATCCAGGTCGACGCAGTCCCAGCGCGTGGCGCGCCTTCGTAACCTACTTGCTCACGATCTAGTTACTGTCATGCCATGCTGCTACGATGGATTGAGTGCGAAGCTTATTGAGCGCGCAGGCTTCGAAGTGACGTTCATGACTGGTTTTGGCGTGTCTGCCGTCCATGGCCTGCCGGATACACAGGTATACGTGTATACTCAAGCTACTCACTTTTTGGCGCATACACTTGTACTTTCTGCCACCCCTAACCCCCTCCTAACCCTATATCCTGCTACTTGTAGCTCGTGTCGTTTGGCGAAATGAGTCGCACTGCTGGAATCATCTGCGAGTCGCTACGTGACATTCCGTGCATTGGTGACGCTGACACGGGCTACGGTAATGCCGTGAACGTGAAAAGGACTGTGGCAGCATATGCCCAGGCAGGTATGGCCGGTATCCTGCTGGAAGACCAAGTGTCGCCGAAACGATGTGGCCACACTGCTGGAAAAGCGGTCGTCTCGCGAGACGAAGCGTTTGCTCGCGTGCGTGCGGCGGTAGACGCTCGTCGAGAAGGTCAATTTGACCTTGTCATACTGGCGAGGACGGACGCTCGTGGAACCCATTCGTTGGATGAGGCGATTGCTCGCTGCAAAGAGTTTGTAACCCTCGGGGCAGACATTACGTTCCTCGAGGCACCACAGTCGATCGAGGAGATGGAGACGTACTGCAGAGAAGTGCCTGGTCCTAAGATGGCCAATATGGTGGAAAATGGTCTGACGCCAGTTTTGCTGCCGGAACAGCTTGGAAAAATGGGATACACGCTCGTGGCGTACCCGATTACATTGCTGAGCGCCAGTATCTCTGCGATGGAAAAGGCGTTGAAGCTGCTCAAGTGCCAGACAGGTGAAAAGAAAGAGGAAGGCTCTGCCGAAAACGCCACGCCGTGTGCGGCACTGGACCAGTTGCTGTGCGACTTTGGACACGTAAAGGACGTTGTGGGCTTTACGGAATACTATGCGGAGGAGGAGCGATACAAGGCATGAGCAAACGATAGCCGCTACCACTGGCCATCGGATCGGACAAACTAATGTTCGAATGCCGCTTTTCCTCATCGCTTGACTTCAACAGTATCGCCCATTTGGTATGGTGAATGTTTACGCTGATTGCGGGTAAAGCAAAGCAGTGGATACATGTGTGGATGTGTAAATTGGGTCGCTGATTGCGGTCTTCTGTGCGCCTGACAATGTCCGCTGACCAGATTGTTTTGAGCTCGATTCATGTTGGCAGGACCATCTGCTTTGAATCGAGAAGATTCCGTGAAAGCGCAAGCTGTTCTCAATTGGCAATAGGTCTCTTACGATACGCAGACTTCACCATATTCCCGACGGTCATGCTGTATTTTTCAGACTGTGGAGGGTCAATAGAACATGTTACGGGCAACATTCTAGTGTGTGACTTTATCTCGCGCAGGTAACTTTGTGCTTTTCACTGATTCAAGCTCGCTAGTTCTTGCATTTAGGCTGGGGCAGAGCGACGTCCGCTGTTTTGTCAACACATCATTGGACCCGACTTTACAATCAAAGTTTCCATACATTTCCCACATCTTTTGCTTCCATGCAAGTAATTTCCTGGTACACAGTTGAAGTCATCCACAATCCAACATACACTTTGCTCTTCTTCTGCGCGCTCTACGTCTTACTCTACGAATAAACGTAATTCACCTACGTCCTCTCTATTGAAGAAGCAGTAGTCGCTGCAAAAACGTGGCAGTCGGCCGACCACTTCAGTTGAATGGCAGTTTCTATCCTGGGATGGTGTAGTAAAATCAGGGCGAAAATGGTTGGTGTCGAAGAGATGGAAGCATGGTAGAAACTTGGTAACGACAATAACACTTCTACATTTTGCATTGGCATCTTCCTATTCTAACAGGTTATGAGCCCAAACGGTGATACTGATGCCGCTGGTGCAACTGGCGCGCAACCTAGGGCACTGACTGGTCGCGAAAGGGCCAGCAGCCTACAGGGCGAAAATTTAGAAGTCAAGGCAGAGGCGGTGCCAGGGAACACGGAGCAAAGGATGTTGGACCTACTGACGGGACTAGCGGAGCGGATGGCTAAGCTAGAGGCGTCACAAGGGACCAAGGACCAGCCGATGGACAAGGAGTCCAGTGTGTTCGGGTCAGCAATAGGCCTGGGGCAACCGATGAATCGGCGTGCTCTCGACGTGACACCGCCGAGGGCTCCTTCTCCACATATGTCGCCGGGGACGTACTTCGGGATGAACCAACCGGGGTATGCAAGGGCGGCTGAGAACGTCGAGAGGGCACAGGCGCCGCAGCCGGGGTTACCACAACACTTTGTGCCACCTCCAGTGTGCCAGCAGGCGCAGATACCGCAGCACGTCCCGTCGTATGCGAGAGGTGCCGGACGCTAGACAGCGCAAGCTGAACATCCGTCATTTCGATGGAAAAGAGCTTTACCAGGGGCTAGGGAGCGGTTTTCTATCCTGGGGGAAGAAGTTTGTACGGGAAGTCTCTTTTGCTGAGCGTGCGAGCGGATTTCCGTGGAGTGAGGATGTCAAGATAGACGTCCTTGGACACAATCTCACGGGAATGGCTGAGCGGTACTATAATCGCCAAGTTGAAGGGGTGGTGGCAAGAAGAGCCAACATTGGAACACGCCATGCAAAGGCTGCTTCATACATTCGCAACTAAGATAACGCCAGCGCAAAGTATGAAGCTATTTACTGCTGCCAAGAGCCCCAAGCGCAGCTGGACAGAACACTATTTGTATTTGGTCGCAGTAAGCGAGGCATGCGGTGGAGCAGACAACTTGGTCCAAGACAACATAGTCCACTACGCTGATCCGGCAATGAGAGTTTCAATGCTGGCGCGTTTGAATCTAACAAGATTTGATTACTTGCGCCAAGCGGAGGAGCTGGCTCACTTCGCGCAGTCGACGGAGATCGAGCTGCGCGGAAAGCACATTGGAAAGGACGTCGTCAACAACGTTCGACATGTGCGCGAAAAGACACGAAACGGGCGTAAGGACAATCGCAAGTGCTACAGCTGTGGGAAATCTGGACACATAAAAGCTGCGTGCCCGGGGAACAAGGTCTCAAGAGAAGCAAGCGTCGACGTGGACTTTGTGCTCGCAGTGGGCAACTTGAGCGCTAACCACGGCTATTGGATACTGGACAGTGGCTCGAGTAGTCACCTGGTAAACGATGTGAGCATGCTCGAGAACCCAGAGGACTGCCAAAGCGAGTGTATCGCAGCTGACGGAGGGCCCTTGCGCATAACGAAGCGAGGAAGCGTCACAATCACGACCACTGTAATGGGCAAGGTCACTAAAGTGCGACTCCTGGACGTGCAATATGCCGAGAACCTCGAAAGGAACATTATATCCTACGGTATATTGGAGGCTAAAGGGTTTGGGATAGCCTACATGGGTGATCGCAGGGTCGTCGGCAACATTGACAGTGGGGTGGTTGTCTTTGACGTGGAGAAGAAGAACAACGTGCTAATAGTGCGGGACCACGATCGCGGAAGTGTTCAGCTACCATCGGACATACTAATGACGGCTTTAGCGCAAGGAGAATTCGAAGTGAGTCAAGACGTGCAACGGGGCACGCTTATGCATTTTCACAGAAGGTTGGCTCACCTGAATTATGACACGATCCTTCGCATGGCAAAGGATCCAGCCTCAGGGATACAGCTGACCGATGAAACGCGTGAGAACTGTCTAGCTTGCGCTCAAGGTAAACAGACCAAGAACCAGCAGTCGAGAAAAGACACTGGCACGAATGCGCCGATTGATGTTATCGGAGGAGTCATCTGCTCTGACCTGAAGGGTCCCATGACTCCTCGCGACAGATTAGGAAATCGTTACATGGTTAATTTTGTGGATCATCGCACGAACTACTGCAGAGTTTTCCTGGCGAAGAGCAAAGACGTGGCGGCCCAAAAGTTTAAACACTTCATGGCATTTTTCGAGAGGCAATTTAATTGTCGCATTCACGTGCTGCGAACGGACGGCGGAGGAGAATATCGTACTCTGGACCTCTTTTGCAAGGAAACAGGAATTGCGAGGCAAATTAGTGAGCCAAGCAACCAAGCCAGCAATGGGAAGGCCGAGAGGATGCATCGCACCATTATGAATATGGTGCGTAGCATGGTGTTTGCGTGCGGACTGCCGCTGAGCTTCTGGGGGACGCGGCGGAGTATGCGGCCTACATACTGAATCGAAGCCCAAGTAAAGCCAACGCTGGTCGCCTATCACCTCTACAGATGTTGACCAAGAAGGTACCTGTTTTAAGTGATATTGTGGTTTTTGGGTCACCGTGCACTGTGCACCAGGACGCGAAGAACAAGTCACTAGGAGCTCGTGGCAAGCAAGGCGTGATCATAGGCAAGAGCGATGAAGTGAAAGGGTACCGTGTGTACATTCCAAGGGACAAGGTCGTGGTCGTAACTCAACATGTTAAGAACGTTGAAACCCTTACGAAGGAACAAAACGATCAACTACGGCGTGTGCATCTGAAGGAGATTTATGAAGTTGCGTGCGATGGCTCGACGCAGAAAGAGAAGACGCAAGCGACTGTTCATGATGCGATGAGAAGAAACCACTCGAAAGTTGGTGGCTGGACGCGAGAGGCGCATGTGACGAGGGCGACTTCGAGAAAGTCACGCGAAGACAATGCAGAACAAAAAGAGGAGGAGGTTTCGGATGTGGTGAATGTCATTCGTGAGAGCGACCCAAAATCCTACGGTCAGGCCATGAAGAGCGGCTTAAAAGATAAGTGGGTGGCAGCAATGGATGAGGAGCTGCGAGCTTTGGAAGACAACGATGTGTGGAAGGTGGAAGTGCCGCCCAAGGGAAGCCATGTCCTACACACCAAATGGGTGTTCAAAACCAAGTTGAACGCAGATGTAACGGGGCACCCTGAAGCTTGTACTGGTGACAGTACAAGCTACTTATTCTGATAACAGAATAGGGTGGTGCCTCGTAACTTCACGTACACTCGTACGTGCAGAGGAAGACGGTAAGAAGAAGCGAGTACTTGGTTAGAGTAAAAAGTAGAACTGTATTTATAATAGTTAATGTCTGCAATAAATCACTATTTATCTTCATCTAACTATGTCTAAATACAAATGTGTAAATCAGTTATCTGCTCACCACTCATTGCGTGCGTCTGTCGTGGCGCGTCTTCGTTGGTTGATATAATGGCCTATATCAACCAATTAGGAACTACTTGGAAGTGCTACAGAATATTGTCCTTATGACAATATTCTGAGAATATAACTCTTATAGTTATATTCTATTAACAATTTCTTATAAATTGTTATGTAACGATTCACCCCGTTACATCACTCCCCCCTTAACCATCAGTCACTTAAGTGACTGATTGACTAAATGGATACTCGTCCCAAATCATTTGGGACGGGGTTTGCACTTGTTGGTCCGCGTCCACTTTCCAACATCTCATCGCATGGTAAACAAGCCCATGCGATGCGCGAGCAAGGCCGCCGAGAGCGCGTCTGCACGTCTCTGTGCGGACGCCGAAGCAGAAACTACAGCAACTGATATCCCATCGGTTGCTGAATCGACTCAGCCTGTATCACCTGGTGATGCAGGCGCTGGTCATGAAGACACTCGTGTCTTCACAGAGTACGAGCTCGGTGTCTCGTACTCTCCTGATACGGATGACGGATCCGTATCGACGGCAATTGAATCCAAGCCGCCTGCCAAGCGTGGCATGGACGATGCTTTGCGTCGCAGCATCTTTGGTTCATCTGATGAGTCAGATGAACCATCGCCGAAGCGAAGGCGCTCGAGGTCGCGAGACTCGGGCGCTAATAGTGGTGTCGTTTCTCCAATGGACACCACTTCACAGCGAGGTGCCAGTACTTCTGTCGGCACGTCGCAGGAAGAGCGGGACCGCAATGTGTTGCGTCTCGCTCCAGAAAAGAAGGCATGGATGCCTCCTAAATCTGTCATGGATCACTTGTCGGCGACGACGAGTGATCGTTATCGAACACGATGGTTCGATTCGTCGAGGATTCATCACCTTGACCCCAGCGCGAAAGACTATCGCGCTGAACATGAGTTCTTCATCGATGCTTTCTTCAGACATCGATGGTACAGTGGGAATCACAAACGTGATGGTCCCTCACTACTTCAGGCGTGGAACGCCTACATCCATAACCTTGAGGATGTAGGTCGTGACGCTTGGAACGACAAACTTATCAAAGCTCGTGATAAGTTTGAAAAGCGAACCCCGACAGGTGCACGCTACAAGCTGCATCGTCTGTCAAGGGAGAAAGGATTACCCTGCCTTTCTTGGGGAGACTCGTGCCCATGTTGTGTGAACAACTCTGCACGAGCACCTAAGGAGGCTTACCTCCTTACCAGCCCGTGGTGGCGCGTACGTGTCTCTACTGAGATGTACGAAGGGATTGACAACCTGAAATCCCTTTACGACCGTGCCGGGAAGACTTTCTCCGGCGGTCCTTCTGCGGCACAGGATGTGTCGCGTCGTACTGCTCGACCAGACCCAGTACGTCAACCATCAATTGGGAGCGGGGCTCCCAAGAATCCCAGGACGGGGGATAGCCGCGCCACCGGACGAGGTAACTCGTCCGACGTCCGTTCACGTCGCGGTGGTTCAACAGCTGCTCTACTAGATAGCGCTGGCCACCGCGAGAGTCCTCTAATGGAGGTGGAGGAGGAGGAAAGACGCTCTCCACACGATCATGTGGATCGGTGTGTTCCCGAGAGCTTCTTTGATCGCGTAACGCAAGGGTTACGCGACGATCTCGAGCATGAGCGGAATAGGCGTCTCCAGATGGTGGACACTGCCTTGAAGCATCGAGCTGAGTTTGCCTTTGCTCAGCTTGAGAACGAGAGATCTCTGACATCTCTTCGTGACGAGCTAAGGGTAGCTCGTGGGATTGTTGATCGGTCTCGGGCTGAGATAACTGCTCTTCAGACCCTTGTTGATGCCCACCATCGGGAGCACAAGGCTCTCTGCGAGATGCTTGAGCGCAAGGGCGTTCTTCATCGGAAGAAGCAGCGTACTGATGGTACGGCTTAAGCCGACCAACGTAAAACGTGGGATGCGTTCGCATCTTACGTGGTAACTCGATCGTGTATGCATTGCCTAGGCGGTGCAATACACGAAATGGGCCAATGTACTTGGGTAGTAGTTTACTGCTACCCAAGTTAGTCACTACATGTTTTGGTAGATTAACCGTAGACAGTAGGACTAAGTCACCTTTATTAAATAAAAGAGTGTTTGCCCTTCCATTCTTGTCAGCGTTTTGCTTTTGCTTATCCACCGCTTCGGCGATGGAGTCTTGCACAAAACGGACTACCGTTTCACGAGCCAGTATGAACTCATCTGATGACTCGTTAGCTTCAGTGTGCTGTGAGCGCACTGCAGCGACAACAACCTTTTCTTCAGTGAGGGCTTCCGCACTCTCACTGGGATCATTGTCTTCAGTGAGGGCTTCCGCACTCTCACTGGCATCATCTTCTTCGATATCGATGTTATCGATATCGGCATCAAACGCAATGACTTCTTCGTCAGAGCGTGATGAGCGTGAACCAAATCGGTTTTTGCTCGCGCGAGTCCCTCCCCCCCCTTAAACCAGAGTTACACTCTAGTAAGGTGGGTACACGCGGATGGCGCAAGCCATTCACGTAAAACGGTGTATGTGTCGTGGACGCATGCACCGAGTTGTTGATGGCAAACTCTACCATCGGCAAAAACTCACTCCAACTCTTAAAGGAGTGTACGTATCCTCGAAGTATCTCTTCAAGGACACGATTGGCACGTTCCGTCTGACCATCTGACTCTGGATGATCAGATGTTGACATCTTCAAGCGCGTTCCGAGTGATTTGAACACGGAACGCCAGAAATCAACAGTGAATCGTGGATCTCTGTCTGATACGAGTTCACGGGGCAACCCATGAAGTCGGAAGATGGTGTCAATAAAGACACAAGCACAGCCACTTGCCGTGATTGTCTCTGGTACAGCCACAAGGTGTACCATTTTGCTGAATCTGTCAACAAATACGAGAATACCCGTATTCCCGCGTGCGTCTTTGGGTAACCCGAAGACGAAATCCATTGAGATGGATTCCCAGCACTCAGCCGGAACCGGTAGAGGCTGTAAAGGTGCACGCAGTGAAGGACTTGACTTCACTCGTTGGCAGACTTCGCATGCGCGAACATACTTTCGCACAAACTGATACTGGCGGGGCCAGTAAAAGTCTCGACTTACCGTGAGATATGTTTTCTCTCGGCCACGATGTCCTCCTATAGGAGCATCGTGATACTCGAACATGATCCGCAAACGCAGATCAGTATCATCTGGAATGACAACACGTGGTGTGTCACCAGAAACGGCTGTATAGTACAGTAAACCGTTACGAGTAGTGTATCGATCTGATGCAGATCGATACGCAGACGACAATCGTTTCAACGATTCTCGAGATGGTTGGGAGAGATGTGACAACAACTTCACTATCTCACCATCTTGGGCGTATGCCCGCCTCACATCATCATACAACGTTGTAGATGGAACTGAGGACGTCATAACCGCAACAGTGACTGTCTCACTGTTGGGTTTCGCGACTGTTTCAAAGTCGGGACGACGTGAGAGTGCATCAGCGACGACATTAAGTCGTCCTGGTTTGTACTCGACCGTAAAGTTGTATTCTGCAAAGAATGACAACCACCGCGCCATTCGTTGTGAAAGGTGCGGGCTGTTCACTGCCGTGCGTAAGGACGCATGGTCAGTGTAAACAACGAAGGGTCTATCTCCTAATAGATAGACTCTGAACTTCGCGAGTGCATACTTCATGGCAAGGAGTTCCTTGTCATGCACTGGATAGTTCCGCTCAGCTGGTTGCAGCTGACGCGACTGATAGCAGACGACGCGTTCAACGCCTTCAAGGTCGTACTGCATTAATGCACAGCCGATTGCGAAATCGCTGGCATCACAGACCACATGAAATGGCCTGTCCTGATCGGCTATTGCTAGGACTGGGGATTGTATCAAGCTCTGCTTGATACCCTCAAAGGCGTTGACATTCAGCGTTCCATAACCACCTCTCGTTCTTTTTCAACAAACGAGAGAGGTGTACAGTCATCTCGGCGTAATTGCGTGAATACTTATGCAAATACGCCGCTAGCTAAGGAATTTTCGAAGACCTTTGACATCGACCGGCACGGGCCAGTCGGTGATCGCCTTGATCTTTTCGGGATCAGGACGTACACCGTTCTTACCAACGATGCACCCAAGAAGTGGTATTTCGCTTGCTGCAAATATACACTTCTTGAGGTTTACATACAATTGATGCTTTCGCATGATTGTAAGAACTTGTCGGACGTGGTACTTGTGAACCTCAACGTCCGACTTTCCATCCATAGCTCGACTATGGATGAATACGTCATCGAAATAACTCGGCGCGAATTCTCGTACTGGCCTCAACAGATGTGATACACACCTGTTGAACGTGGCAGGGGCATTACTGAGCCCTTGTGGCATTACTAGCCATTCCCAGAGCATGCCGCTAGGCGTGCTAACTGCGGTATAGGGTATATCCCGTTCCCGCATTAGGATTTGATAGAAGCCATCCATCAAATCCATGGACGAAAAGATGGTACTCTTTGACATACCATCAATGATTACGTCCTTCCTCGGTATCGGCGTCTGAGCCGGTACCGTTGCAGCGTTCAATTTGTTAAACGCGTGCACTATCCGCCACCCTCCTGTTGCTTTTCGCCCACAGAAGGTCGGAGAGCTATGTGGGGAAGTTGATTCCCTCACATGGCCCGCTGCTAAACGATCGGCAAAGAACTTGTCGATCGCAAGTACTTGTTCACGAGGCAGTGGCCACTGCTTCATGACACAGTACTTCGAGCCTGGTTTAAGCTCGACTTCGTGTCGAATACCTTTATCCTTCGGTAATTCGCACGGAACAGTTTCAGGGAATACATCCTTGAATTCAACCAAATCTTCATAGAGAGGATTTTCCTTGAGCGATTCCCATGATTGGGACTCATATCGCTCAATTCGTGTCTTTTCATCTAGGACACTCTCGTCCATAGATGAACTACTGAGAACTCTCTCGTTCTCAGTAAACACTGTTGCTGACCTTATGTCGGTTACATACTCGTCTTCAGCGACGAGTATGCAGATCTGCTTGACTTTGCCACTACGCAGATCACGCAAGAATCTTTTATGTTCGAGCGTTGGCAACTGAGTGATCTCCGAAGTTAACTTCGGAGGCGCAATCAGATCAAGTGTATAAGCGCCTACACATGATCCGTTATTGACTATGACATTCAATGTCTCTGTCATTTCCTGGGGACTTATTCCCTCAGGCTTCGAAGGACTTATTCCTTCGTCTTCCCGGGGACTTATTCCCGCGGGTTTCGGGGAACTTATTTCCGCCGTATTTGTAATCTTGGGACTTATTCCCTTTACTTCCTCTAGCTGGGGTTGCGCAACCACAGCGAGATCCTCTACGAAAGACTCTCCAGTCGATCTAGGATTATCGTTTCGCTTAACCTGAGCGATCGATTGTTTCTCTTCTAGATGTTCCCCTCTAGGGATACATCTTTGTCCCAGTCCACCCGACTTATTCGAGTGGTGGACCTTCGGCGCAGCCTGTGTTTCCTCACAGCCGCCGGAACTTTGCTCCGAAGTGTAACCGTTTGGTACACTAAGGTTTTGTGCAGTCGTACTAACGACCGTACCACAAGTGAGGCCATCGCACTCACTCGTAGTACATCCACACGCTTGTGGACGCTCCAAAACGTTCATCAGATGGCCATCTGATGAACAAGCGGCAGGCATCGTTACTGTCCGATGTTGCCAGTTTACCCGTGGTTCGTACCTTCTGAGCCACGGTATTCCAGGATGACATCAAATTTGTCATCCAAATCCAATACGATAAAGTCATCGTCGTATTGGGTATCTTCTAGCGTATAGTGAATCTTCACTATACGCTTCATATTGGTTACGGATGCGCCTGTCGCAAGACGTACCGTCATCCTCGTAGGAGGTGTGTCACATTCACTGAATTTAAAGTGACCATCTTCTAGCGATTGGCGTCGCACAAAATTGTTGGACGCCCCACAATCGACTAGAGCTCGAAGGGACAACTTATTCGTCACTTCGAGTTTCAAGGTAATGAGTGAGATCTCATTACCTAGAGCAGCAACGCACAATGTCTGTGTGTTGGGAGCAACCTTCATCAAGAGGCCTACAAATTCTCTTGACGTTGCTGGATCAGTAGGGTGCTCCGCACCTACTGATCCTGTCCGTTTTTGACGGTCCATCCCGTTGTTGCGTCTTTGCACCAACTGCGGACCCTCGTCCCTGCCCCTTTCTCATGGGTGGACGGTCACTACGCCCAGTGTCGCGAGACACTGGACGAGGGGCACTACACTCGTAAGCGTAGTGTCCTGTCTTTTGACATCTGTTGCATCTCTGCAACTTCTTGTAGCCTGTAGAGCGAGCCTTCTCGCTCTCTACATAACAGAGTTCCATCGGCTCTGGACCTCCGTTGTCATATCGTCTCGGTTGACGATATGATGTCGAGCTGGCGCGAGCCTGTCTCAGACTGAAGTCTTCCTGCTCCGCAATTGAAATGGCTTGTTCTAGTGAATCTAGTTCAAGCCGGAACAGGTGAGTCTTGACGGGACCATCCGCAAGACCCTGCATGAACACCGAAACCAACGTGTGTTCATCCACCGGATTGGAACTTATACAACTCGTGAGATGTCGTATATGTTGAGCGTAAGCGTGCACATCACGCTTACCCTGCTTGAGCTTCAAGAGTTCGGTTCGAGCTCTGAACTCAGCTCTAGGCGGTTCAAACGTTTGTCTGAGCCGCGACTTGAAGACTTCCAACGACCCAAACGCGTATGGGTCGTGCAGCTTGAGCCCCAGTGCCCAAGTCTTGGCACGTCCTGCCAGATTTGACTGGGCAAATGCAACTTGCATATCCCCGTCGTCGATGCGACGCGCCCTTATGGCGTCATCCAATTCGACGAACCATCTCAAGAGGGAGTCTTCTTCGACCCCCTATACTTTGAGATGTCAATCTTCAAAGTCTCGGGCCGACGCGAGTGCATCGACCCGCCAGCAGCAGCCTGCTGCTGTCTCAACAGTTCAAACTGTTGAGCACCTTGTTCTCTCAACAACTCTGCTTGTTGAGAACCTTGTTGGTGAAGCAAGGCTACTTTCTCGCGTTCTGCGTCAAGTTCATTTTGAATGAACTTGGCGATAGTAGCATGTTGGGCATCTCTATTGAGAGCCTCTAGCATGACGCTAACAGCATGGATGCCCATGGTCGAACCCATTCGTTCAACCGCATCCCATTCGACATCGCTCAAATGGGAGTAGCCGTCACGCGTAGCGTGAAAGCTTTGGTCATCTTCATCATCCAACATATTCATGTTGGATGTGAACGCAGTCCTTGGACGGACTACGAAGTGCTACCAGGTGTAACGGGGCACCCTGAAGCTTGTACTGGTGACAGTACAAGCTACTTATTCTGATAACAGAATAGGGCGGTGCCTCGTAACTTCACGTACACTCGTACGTGCAGAGGAAGACAGTAAGAAGAAGCGAGTACTTGGTTAGAGTAAAAAGTAGAACTGTATTTATAATAGTTAATGTCTGCAATAAATCACTATTTATCTTCATCTAACTATGTCTAAATACAAATGTGTAAATCAGTTATCTGCTCACCACTCATTGCGTGCGTCTGTCGTGGCGCGTCTTCGTTGGTTGATATAATGGCCTATATCAACCAATTAGGAACTACTTGGAAGTGCTACAGAATATTGTCCTTATGACAATATTCTGAGAATATAACTCTTATAGTTATATTCTATTAACAATTTCTTATAAATTGTTATGTAACGATTCACCCCGTTACAGCAGAGGGAGAGATCGATCGTTTCAAAGCGAGGCTTGTGGCATGCGGGAACGAGCAGGTCTACGGTGTCGACTACGGGTTGACGTTTGCTGCGGTGATGGAATTGAGCACGGTGAAGGTCATACTGGTACTTGCCCTACGTTGGGGAGTACCAGCAAGACATGGTGACATACCTAACGCCTACGTGAAGGCGAACAAAGAGGAACATTTGGAGATTTTTCTTGCCATACCTCAAGGCATGACTGTACCTGATGTGATTTTGAAGCAATTTGGAACACAAGGCAGCGACAAACTGGCGCTCAGGCTTAAAAAGTCGCTTTACGGCCTTAAACAGGCGGGTCGTCTTTGGAGCAAATTGCTGGACACGAAACTGGTCGAGGCTGGTTTTAGTCGATGCGTGTCTGACGCATGTCTGTATTTCAGACACGATGGAGGCGAGCTGACAATTGTCGGGGTATATGTTGATGATTTGTTGGTGACAGCGACAAGTCAGGACAAGGTGGAAGAATTCTTTAAAGCGATGAGTGTCCTCTCTATTAAGGATTTGGGTCAAGTTAACAAGTTCCTGGGCATGAGGATGGCTCTAAAGGACTCGAAGACTTACACTGTCGATCAGACTACGGCGATCGATGAGATGCTAAATCAACATGGTCTGGATGCAGCAAACGGCGTGAGGGCGCCCATCGGTGACGACAGCAACGACGATGTGTCAGAAGGTGTGTACCTGTCGGCAAATCGGGGCAAGAAAGGCGAGCCTACTGTCCGGAAACTTTCAGTCTTTAGTGGGTAGCCTTCTATGGATTGCCCGGTGTTCAAGGCCTGACATTAGCTTCGCGGTTCACAGAGCCACAAGACGTACGCACCAGCCCACTGTCAGCGACTGGAAGCTGGCAAAACGCGTCGCGAGATACCTGAAGACAACAAAAGACATGAAACTCAAGATGAGCCTCGAAGATGAGAAAGATGTTATCACGGTGACATGTTGGAGTGACTCAGACTTCGCGGCAGATAAGTCCGACCGCAAGTCAATAACCGGTGGAGTACTTACGGTGAGTGGAGTCATCGTGCATTGGATCTGCAAAAAGCAGACCGGAGTATCCTTGTCTACCATGGAGGCCGAGTTTACCTCGGCGTCGCACGTTGGACGAGAGCTGCTGGGATTGCGAGAATTGCTGAAGGAGATTGGACTTCCTGTGACGGAGCCAATGAGCATGCTAATGGACAATCAAGCAGCAATCAAGATGTTAGAGTCTGAAGGAAGCATGGCGAGTGCGAAGCACGTGGATGTGCAGATGAAATTCATCTGCGATTATGCTAAAAAGGGTATCGTCAAACCTGAATTCGTCGAGTCGAAGTTGATGAAAGCAGACCTGTTGACGAAGACACTGCCGGCGCCAAGGGTCGCGGAGCTACGCGAATTGTTTAACCTTGTTTGAATGTTGCAGGTGGACCGGATGAAGCGCGTCGTCCGAGGAGGAGTATTGAAGAAGCAGTAGTCGCTGCAAAAACGTGGCAGTCGGCCGACCACTTCAGTTGAATGGCAGTTTCTATCCTGGGATGGTGTAGTAAAATCAGGGCGAAAATGGTTGGTGTCGAAGAGATGGAAGCATGGTAGAAACTTGGTAACGACAATAACACTTCTACATTTTGCATTGGCATCTTCCTATTCTAACACTCTCATCACGTCGCATTGCGCTTTCAACCCCGTCTTTCTGCTCATTCTTGGCCTCTAGATCATTCTCGGCTCATCTTTCAAAACCAGATTTCTCAATTCTTGATCGACGATACCAAACTGGACTTTTGCTCTCGATAGCTGGCCCTCGCTAAGTCATTGGCGAAGACCATGCAAAATCCTGTTCTCTACGCTCTCTGTCTTGTCTTATCTTTCGCCTTCGCAGTTCGCTGAGCTTTTAACTTGATCACTAGGTCTTCAGGTCCCCCAAAAATAGGTTGATGAACCGAGAATAATGCTGTTAACCACTTGCAGCATCAACGTCTACCGTTGCGTTGACCACCCTACTTCAGTCCTTGCAACTCATCGACGACCGACATTCCCCCCCCCAAAAAAAGCGCGTCTTCACTACCACTTTCGACAAAAAGCGCCTTTTTCCATCAACAAAGACACCTTTTATAAAATGCCTCCACGTTGAAGTTGAAGTGGCCATCACTCTCGATTCCGCATCCGCGCGCGCACCTCCGCAACGAGCGCCTCACGTCCGTCGGAAAGCATGTCGGTCCGCCGCGAAGTGGTCTCGCTCTCCCAGCTGCTGCGTCGCAGCGATTCCTCGTAAGCGCTCGCTCTGTCTCTTCCGCGTCACCTGCTACCTAATCCACTGAACGTCGTGCCTTCCAGTGTCGGTCGACAGCACCGACAAACAGCTCACGGCCCGCCGCCGCCGCCGCCATTGGCCTTACAAACCTCAAGACAAAGACTAACCAAGCCACGACTGGCGGATCAAGGTCCAAAGATCGGAGACAGTCGACCACCAATCATCAGCTCCGCGCCGTTCACAGACAAGCCACGGAGCTTCACTCAGAGCGTGCGCGATGCCGCGTCCGCTTCTCAGCCAGAGAGTCTCCGCTCAAGCTCGGTGTTTGCACCCATGTCTCAAGAAGGTGATGGCTACATTTCACTGATTCACCGTATGCACAGTAGTAGCCACGGCTACTGCTTGTAGTACTGCGTGACTGACGGTCTGCTTGACTGTTTGTGCAGCGTTCGAGGCGGAGAGCGAGCAGTGGAGTGCACTGACGTCCATGTCGCAGTCGTCCGTGTCGCAGTTCCAGTCGCAGAACTTGCTCGGGTCGAGTCAAGAGGGAGATCAGGTGAGGAAAACACGAGATTGCCGTGACACGGGTGGGACCTTCTTCAGTGTCTTGTCACTGATTGTGACAATCATTGGTTCTAGCTGTGGCGGACGCCAGAGCTGCTGCCGACAGCTCTCCCGCCGCCTCCTGCAACTTGCGGCATACAACTACAAGAGCTTGAGAAAAGTATCTCGAAGGCTCTTTCCCAGCAAATGCTCGACCAGAAACAACAACAGCAGCAGCTCCTAACGGACTTTGTCAGTCCGCTCTCAACGTCAGTGGACGATATCCAGAAGAATCTCGCGTTGTGCACTGAAGCGCAGCACAAACACGACGCAGCTGTTGCGGAGCTTGCAGCAGGCGTGAACAACGTGATGGCGACAGTCTCGGCGCTTCGTGAGCAGGTTTTATGACACTGTTAGCTGGGCTGGATCAAAGTTGCTGCTGCTAGTGATACTCATGTTTTGCGTTCCACCACCCACAGAGTTGTAGCAATAGCACAGCAGTTTGTGACGAGATCCGCACGGCAGTGATGAACGAAACAGCGGGCGTGAAAGCGGTGCTCACGAGCCTCCAAGCCCGTTTTGAGACAGTGGAAGACAGCGTCAAGTCATGCTCAGGTCTCGTTGCGGAGGTACGTGAAGACGCCGGCACGAAGCACGACGCACTCTTGTCAGCTGTGGCAGCATCCGCTTGCTCTTGCACTCAAGAAGTCACACCTGTCGAAGCACCGGTGAGTGCTGAGAGACCAAGTAGAAAGCGAAAACGGAGCGTCGAAGCACGGGAAATGGATTCCAGGAGCTATACATTAGCCTCACTTCTTTGCTCACCATTATGTGAATCTCCAGTCCAATATCGAGAGGACGACGACGACGAGGTGTGGAGAGAGAAAGAGGCAAGTGGGATGCAATGCACGAGCCTTCAAGGAGCACTTCAGCAGATTGAAGCTCTCCGCGCAAGGCGTCGCAGCATTCTGCGAATATGGTAACAGGGGTGAACAGGGCTGCATCAGTTGGGCACAAGGTACCGTCTCCTATGCATGACAGGACATGCTCCTGGAGCTGGAAACGCCGACACTATATACAAGCTGTCGCTTTGGGTTTACAAAAATAGTCTCATGTTTTCGTCAGGGGTTCCTCGTGAGGCACAAACTGCTGTTTCGTATCGCTTTTTGCGTCTCCGGACGCACCTAAAACTGGGGTCGTGTCTGTTTGTGTTGTGGAACGGGAACAAATGATAAACCATGACATAATTAGACACTCGTCCTACTTTTACACCTTTCCAGACCATTTACAGGAGTCTAAATAAAGCCTACCGGGTAGCCAGCGCCGTGCGTGGGATCCTTAACGAGCTTGGCGTACTCTTCACGAAGGCCCTTGCACGCCATCTTGTGGTTCACACCGTTCTCACGGTAACACGTGGCCAGCTCTTCGCGGACGACTATGAGCATCGCTTGCGCAAGCTGCACGCGCTTTGCGTACTTGCGCTCAGCAGCGCGGATCGCTAGGATCTCGTCTTTCGTTCGGAGCTGTGAGGCGTACATGACGAAAACGCGGGACTCGTGTGGCAATGTAGAGCTCCGGTGACCTCGAGCTGAGTGACGGGGAGCCTCGAGAAAGCTGCTGAAAGTGTACCAGCTAAGAGGCACCTTCGTACTTTTGTGGGGCAGCGAGAGCTCGCACGCGGAGTTAGCATCCGATCGTTATTAGGGATATATATGCCAAGTAGGGGTTTAGTATATTTTTCAGTTTTGAATCAGCATCAAAAAGGGTTCTTGTGATCGGTAGTCAAGGCACTTGATCGTAAACACATGGTTCGTACACGTTGGCAGCATTGCCGAGATTTGGAAACTCTTGGATCGAAAATCACTCACAAAAAAGTAATTCGGACCATAAAGACGGTCGTCACGGGAGAGATACAACAGTTGACATCAAAAAATGACCTTAAAAAGTCATCACAACGGAAGCTGCATGACTACCAGGGAGTCATTATCGTGCCCCCTGCACTCGCACTCTACGTCCACTTGACTTACATCTGCATGTACCGGCTACCACCACCTCCACCCTTGGGTCCGTATCCCTCCGACGAAGAATACCCATTTGCGTGATTTGTTCCAGCTCTGTAAGCTGGAGATGCTGATTCCGTGTGACTTGAAGAAGCTGCCGTCCTTTCACCCCGGTATCCAGCTGATGAAGACGAGTCACTCGTATCACCAAAGGCAAACGAATCCATCGACGAGCTCGAAGAAGCATAGCTCACTGAAGCTCCTCGACCAGCAGCTCGACCACCTGCAGCAGCACGTAGACTGCTCACCCACTGCTGCTTTACTTCGCGCGATCTGGCGTGGAGCTGTAGCGGATAGTACTCCTCATTGCGGAACGAGACACCAAAAGCTTCAGGTACCGCACAATTGTCGTCGATAGTCGCCCCAGTGACATCCATGGGCGGATTGACCGAGCGGCAACGCTCATAGTCCTCCTTCGTATCGTAGAAGCTTAGTTGCGGTCCTTCCAGCACAAAGTATCGCTGCTGCCACTTCGCACGTGTAGATCCAGTAGCACCAGATGCCACGTACTGCTTGATAAGGTACCCACACAGGACTTGAGCAAAAGCCGACGAGGCAAACTCCGTTGCACGGTACTGACCCTGTTGTGCTGTATCCGCCAAGCGCTTCATAGTAGCGTTATGGTTTAGAATGTGCTCCAGTTCATTCGTCTTGAACTCCAGCGTCGAGCGCAATCCAGCGAGCTCGGCTGTACAACGTTGCTCTGCTTCCTTCACTCCCAGCTCACACTTCTGCTGCTGCTGAGTAGACAGCTCCTGCATCGCACCTGCCTGTCCTTTCGCCACTGCTACTTTCACACTCAGTTCATTCATTTGCTGCTCAAGAGCGCGCACCTCCGCCATATGGGCTGCGTTTGTGTTCTCCGTGCGTTGGATGGTTTGGGACAAGACACGCTGGCTGATGTATTCACAATACGCGGCATCGGCTGATGGACCCACAGCACGATCAAAATACTGCTGATGCACCACATCCAGGTCGTCTAGCAAAAAGGTCTGGGTTTCACGAAAAAGTTCCGCAGATGACTTTTGGCTATGAAGCTTCGGGTGTGCCAGGTACTCATTTCCGGGTCGACTTAAATCGTCCAGCACGTGCCTGCAATACGCCATTGATGCCGCTGCATTCTGCTGATGGTATGATTTGAACTCGGCAGCTACCGCTTGGCGGAATTGAGCCATATGATCATCATCACCACCAGCTTCAGCTTCATTGCCTATGTTTTCATTGACAACATCGCGCAACTTTTTCTTGGCCAGCTGCTTGCACCAACGATGCACACTGTTCAGCCTGCTATCCGAACAAGGCAATCGTGTGCGTTCCACGCTGTTCACGACACTCTTAGCCTTCGTGTCATCTTCTTTTGCACTTATATCCACGGGACTGCTTTGCGAAACCACTTGGTCGTCTTCAGCCTCATCCAGACCATCCGTCGTCGCCAATTCTGGTGGCAAAACTATGCTTTGCAAATTCCCGTCTTCATCAAACATGGCGTTGCTTCCCTGCCTGTTACCTCCCACTTCAAGTCCACCATTCAAGGCATCGTTCTCGACACCAATCTTTTCAAATCCAACATCGTTCTCGTACTGTTTAGCTGACACATAACTGCGAACTCGTGCACGCATCTCGGTTTTGTAGCACTCGACAGCATCTTCAAGTGCATCCTGACATTGTGCCTGCATGACGCGACTCCAGGCGCTAGAGATCACCGGTGCCTTGCCGCTATTCAGTGCTTCCACATACGATCCCGCCAAGTTGACGAGCATGGCTCCGTTCAATGGCTTGCCAAACATTGTCTTCGGCTTGGCTTTGCCAAACAACCTCTCGCATAGACCCTCGAAACTAGCTCGAAACTCGTTCCTCAGCTCGTTGTACGGCACCTGCGGCAAATTCCGAAGCTTCTCTTCATCATCCACAGGTCGCACCAATGTGACGCAATCGCGTTGTCGGAAAAAGCCACTCAGAAGCGCTCGAATCTCGTCTTTACGCACAGCGTCGTCACTCAATCCTCCTGTTGGCTCCAGTGCATTCTCCAGATACTGCTTGGACGAAATGCGTTTGCCGTTTTCCAGTAGTTGCAGCGTAAAGTCACGAACGACCCACATAAAAGTCGGGAAAAACTCGTGCAAGCGGTCGCCAGCGCTCGCTACATCCAGGCCAGGAGATGCTGTCGTTGTTGTTGTTGACGACGTTTGAATGTGCTTGGACAAGTTCACGACGAGCGAGAGGTCGTCGAGAGCGTTGCCATCAATGACTCCACGACTATTGTACACGAAATTTGACGCCAGGAGCAGCGCAAGTGCAAAAATGCGCGTGTCGTGTGTCTGAGCACGGTCCACGCTACCCAGTCCTTCCGTATCCAAGAACAGGACGCTCGTGTCTTCGTCAAGTGCAATGGGGTGGCCCCACATCCAAATGCCTTTGGTACATGCGTTGACGGTACGACCCACCGCGAACCCCTGCAACAAGCAAACAGGACAGGTGATAGCAATACATTATGGTTACGATTGTGTCGATCTCGTCAGTACGATCGAGCATCTTAGTCGTCAAGACACGAAAATAATTGCAATTATTGCAACTATTGCACAATACAATGATTGCAATTATTGGACAATACAATAATTGCAATTATGACACACTACAATAATTGCAATTATTGTCTTGTGCAAGAATCCGTACACTTGGACGTATGGAACCTGCGACGTCTGGAGTCGCGGCATGTTGCGCCAGTAGATTCAGGAGAAAGCTCTTGCCCGTGCGGTAGAGACCCGCGACAGCCACGACGACGAGACGCGTCTTGACGGTCTCCAGCACTACGCGCGCCTCGGGGCTCACGCAAAAGTCGCCGCTCGCGTCGTCGACCGTGATGAACGGCAGCGGCTGGACGGTCATCTTGTCGTCAGGGCGCGGCAGTTGGGTGCAATGCAAAGGTACCAGTGGGTGGTACATTCCTTCGACATGGGTCTTTTGTGTCTTTCATTGTCTCGCGCGTCGGTCGTCTTGTTGTTAAATCGAATCGAATCGATGTGGTTCGTGTGTGCGTGTGTGTAGATCTAGTGGTCCACACTATTCCTGGACCCACCAGCCATTTTTGACTACCGCCACACGCGTGTTAACTGAGTGGTGGTTCGCTTGCGTTATCGCTCACTATCACATGGCGCGAAGTGGCGCATCGGCTCGTCAGTCCTCGCGTGGACGGGGAAGCACCGGCGTTGGCGCGCACCCGACGATGCGTAAAAAGTCCAAGCTCGTTGTCACGTTTAACCCGGAGAAGCGCAAGTACGTCCGTTTGGCTACCTGTGTTTGGTTCACTGCGTTTCGTGAATCAAACAAACGTTTGTTTGATTGACTTGTGCTTTTGGCTTATTCTGTTGTTGTTGTTGTTGTTATTGTTATTGTTGTTGTTATTGCTGTTGTTGTTGTTATTGTATAGGGAGTATCTGACGGGGTTCCATAAGCGCAAACAAGAGCGTCGTCGCTTTGGGCTGGACATGGAGGCGTACAAGGTCAAGAAACTTCAACTGGAGGCAAAGAAGAACCGGCGAGCAGAGCAGAAGGAGAAACTGGCAGCACTGAATCTGCTATCGGACGATGAGAAGACAAAAGAGGAGGAAGAAGAGGAGGCAGATGAGGAGGAGGAGGAAGCGTCCGAGACGAAGAGGACGTGTGTGTCGCTTCGCTCTGGTGACGCCAAGGCGGTCGTTAACGTCACGACGTTCAGTGACGACTTTACTCAGGGCAAGTTTGGTGACGTGGTGACTGTCACGACGGCCGTGGGCGATGTGCAGAGTGATAGCGACGACAGTGACAGCAGTGTGGAGGCAGTGGAAGAGGCAGCGGACGACACTGCAGGTCAGCGCGGGTCTGGTGCGCTGCGTGCGAAGAAGTGGAAGGTCGATCCCGAGCAGCACTTGACGCTTTTCCAGCGGATACAGCAGCAGCGTAAGGGCAAAGCGCTGCCGTCGAAGCGCTCGAAGCTTAAAGAGGCACGGACTGCACGAAAGGCCATGATGGGTAAGAAAGGTAACAGCAGTGGCATCATTGGTCCGAGCAAGAAACGGGGGGCTGAAGATGGCGACGGAGCAGGTACTGCTGTCGGTAAACTCAGGAAGAAGCTCAAGATGAAGCGCAGTCAGAGCACTGGCCAGAAGCGTCAGAAGCAGCGATAGCTGGTCAGCCAGGTATGCGAGATGTTGCTACCAGCAAAGAAGGTATAGTCAATCTTTCACGCAACTTTTTTAATCTTCAACGCCACGGGTTGTTGTTATCCATTATACTAGCTGTTCTCGACTTGCCCAGATCGTGCACGTGCTTGACCAGGTTACTTCCACACCTTGATAAGTGCATCACGGCCACTCGAGACGAGCATGGGGCTCGAACTGTGACTGCTTCCAAGCTCAACAAGCGTCAGGTCCAAAATACAGTCCGTGTGCGCCGGAGATGGAGGCACGAGACCTCTGCGTTCGACGCTGATCGAAGACTCGGCACCACTAGCACCTGAGGCTGACACGCCACCTGGAGTCGAGTACACGGACGAGTCCTGGCAAACCGTGATCAGTGGTGGGCTCAACTTGCTCCAAGCCATCTCTGGCTTCGTGATGTTGTGCGTGGTCGAAAGAGGTGCTGCAGGCACTTCATCATAACGACGCGGAGTAGGATCGGGCATGCGCCACCAGTCAGTAGGAGGCAGCTGGTTGTCGTAAAATGACTTGGCGTCACCATTCCCGCAGATCGTGTACGATTGCTTCCCGTTGCGAATGTCCCAGTAACGCAATTGACGGTCTTCACCGCCAGTAATCAACGCCTCGCCAATGCCACGAAGGTGCAGTGACGGGCACAATATTGCACGGACACTAGGCTCCTCACCGAGTGGCGATGTCGAAATCTCGTCGAAAGCCGTGGCGATACCATAAATCCCGAGATAACTTCCCAGCACGCTTCGACTGCGGTGTGGAATTGCCACATGCAGCAGTGTCGGACATTTGCTGGCTTCAGCCTCCGATGCCTGTGCCTCGAGCGTCCGGAACACTGCCCGACATGCACCAATGCTGAGATCAAACACCGCGACTTCGCCATCACCTGCTGCCACAAATACCAGGGGTACCGACGTCTCATCGAGCGGCAACGCATTCGGCAATCCCAAGCACGGCTGCAGTCGATGGATGGCGCGGTGAGACGAATGGCGCCAGATACGAATGAGCACCAAGAAGCGCAGATCCCACAAGCACAAAAAGCCTCTGCTTGTTCCGACAGCTAACCAGCTCACATCAAGTGAGTGTGTCACGCACGTCACATAGCCAAGTTCGGGAGAAATACTCAGCGTCCAGGCCTCCTGTCGCATGCGCAGATCCCACGCATGGATTCTGCCGTCTCGGGTCGCATATAGCAGCAGAGCCTCCGTCACGTTGTTCAGGTAGTCGATTGCCATAACAGCACTGTTATTCGCACGGAGCTCCTTCAGACCAGTGGTCTGGACGTTCCCACCTACAGAACTCACCTTGTCCACACGAAAGACGTGAACAGTGCCGTCGCTGGAAGCTGAAGCAACCGAGTGACTGTTCGTCAGCACCTTCATGTCGGTAATCACTCCACTCTGCCCGTCATATGTACACCGTGATCCTTGATTCACGCTATGCAGCAATGACCGCACTGACCAAATCTTCACCGTTCCGTCATTCGAGGCAGACGCGAGGAAGCTGTAGTCCTGAGCAGCATTCACACGAGTCACAGCTCCCGAGTGCTCAGCCAATTCCGCCACCAGGACATTCTTGCGTGGCTGCCAGTTGTGGTACGATGAGCTAGGGTAGCTAGCGCCCCCACTAACACCGTTTCCACCACTCAAGTGGCTTCCGGATCCACTGCTGCTGTTGGAGTTGCCAAAGCTACTGGGCGTCACACCTCCGTTGATTGCTGCCGCAGCTGCTGCAGCCACGTTGAACGCCCCTACGCCAGGAGGATACGTTCCACTACCAACTTGCATCGAAGGCAATGCCACATTGGAAGCACTCGTGCCTGCTCGATCGTTTCCTGATGCTCCAGTAGTTCCCGCACTTTTGTTTATGCCAACGCCACCACTTGTCAGACAGTAGGGGCTTGGCGCATGACTGTAAATCGAGTATGGCGATCCATCAGACAGCTGCAGCGCACCAAGATCCGGTGGCAACGGAGGAATACCCAGTGCATTCAACCGCGCAAGCAATTTGCGCGGATTCCCAAGTGCAGGATCCATTGCCGACTCCTTGAAAGCAAAGTAGTGGTGGTAAGTCGTATGCGCCTTCTTGATCATTCTTTGTCGCGGAGGTGACACTGGCGACGCATGCGCTGGGTGGTGGTGATGATGCGGATCCAATAAACTGTTCATTCCATCGCCACCGTACATGTCGCGCATATTCATGTTCAGCATGCTTACCATGACTCCACCGCTGGTAGGTGCAAAGTGATTTGAGTCCATTTGACTCAGTCCCGGGTCGTCCAGTGCCGATGAAATGGACCCAGGAGGAACCATAGTAGAGGGGCCCGTGACAGCAATAGATGATGCGGAAACAGGCGTGCTTGGCTCGACAAGACTGTACATTTTGCCAACGTGCGACAAGGATAGGCTGTCCAGAGAGGGAGCTGCTGTCATCCCGGCACCGGTCGATGCTGCTGCTGTTTCGCGATGCAACGGTGAGCTGCTAGGCGCATGCGACCGGGATCTTGTTACCAAAGCGGTTGATATAGTCGTTGCCGGTGTCGACATCGACGTAGCACTGCTAGTCGCTGGAGACGACGACGACGGGATTCCGAATTTGTTTGGCTTCAGGGGTTGTGCTGTCGAGAGTGCAAAACGCATATCCGGCACGAAGAGCATACGAAGGTGTGAGCGCGACAGCTTTCGAGCAAATGGGTTGCTGTTGGTGCGAGCAGCAGCACCACTGGCTGCTACTGCAGAAGCTTTGATCGCCGAACTGCGGGGCGAACCAGCGCGGTCGCTTTTGGAGGCTCCTTGCATACGCGCCGCTTGCTCAGTTTTAGCCATTTCCAACTTGCTCCGCATCTGCATCGAGGCAATTGAGACGTACTGTTGCATCAGTTTGAGTAATTGGATCTCATTCTTGCGTTGGTCGTACACCGAGAACGCGCCAACCTCAACACTATTCGATATCGTTGCTGCTGTTGTCGCTGCCGAAGATGCAACGGCTGCACCAGATGATTGCTGACGAGGCACACCACATCCATCCAGAGAGTCCGCACTCAGCAAGGCATCTCTGTTCCTTCGAGACTTTGACATGTCGCCGACTGATTCCTCGAGTGATTCACGCGAAGTTGTCGTCATAGCCGAGAGAGGCGTGGTTGGAACCAGGTCGTCGTCGCTGTCATCAGGCAGTTGGACAACAGATCGTTCCATGTCGGATATGACCTCGGTAAAACCTGAAGATAATGACGAGGCCAGTAGTGCGCGGTCAAATGTCTCCCGCGACACGTGAGGCCGACAGCAGTCACGAAGTCGCTTCGTGACCACAGGAACCTTCTCGTCGGGCAAAAACACCATCGTCTTGCGCAAAAAGGGCCGAAGCAGTGGACCTAAGAAAACGTTGGCGTCTACACTGCGCAGTTTGAGCGCAATCTCACCCATCAGCTTCAACACAGCATCGCGAATCCACCAACTTGGATGCAGCAACAAGGAACAAGTCATACGCGCTTTTTCCACGAGCGTGCTGATTTTATTCTGGAACAGTCCGAGTTGGCACAATCCAGTAAGACACTCCACTGCTTTAGTGATGACAATCTCTTGTACATCAAATAGCGCTTGCTCAATGCAAGGTAAGATGTTTTGTTCAACGGCCTCAGGACCTACAAACGAGCACACGCCAACGACGTAGTCAAAAAACGCCCCTCGTAGCTCCCAGTCCGGGTCGTTCAGAAACGTTATAAGCTGTGGTAAGACCACATCCAGGGTGCGTTCTTGGCCGAAAAACACGCACAGCCTTGTAATATCGACCAGCAGTGCACGCTTGACAAGAGATGATGAGGCCTTTTGATCGGGAGTCGTAAGCTGGATTACAAATCGCGAAATCATTTTGTGCAGCACACTCAGCTCTTTATCAAAACTGCTGGACGCCATATACAACGTGCTGGGAGCAGATGAATCATTGCTCCGGCCAGAAATTGCTGATTTGGCAGATGATGACGATGTCAACATCTTTTGCTTCATCGCGTGCGCAATCTCCAAGAAACGTCGACTGGTTTCGGCCAGCTGCGGCAAGCACTCGGCAAATGTGATGCGCACCAACTCATCAGGGTCAGACTGGAAAGGTACCATTGCAGGCAGCACGTACTGCGGGAACACAGAGGCGTCAGCGAGAGGAAAGGATTCCACAAGCGATATCAAGTAAGTGACTGTACGAAGCGCCAATGCGCGCACTGTCGCGCTTGGGTCATCAATAACCTCAAGCAAGTAAGGTATTAGGCGCTGCAAGCGGGCTTCATCGCTCGTGTACTGGCCAAGTGAGCGGATCAAGTACAGCGCAGTGAGCTTTGACTCCGGGACTTGTACATGCCGCAGACTCGAACAAATCAACGACAAAATGATGACGATGCCGTTACGGTCATGAGGCCACGGTTCACTGCTTTGATTTGCTGGTGGCTTCATTTGTCGTGCGCTGCTTGTGTGGGAAGAAGGCATCATATTGTTCGATCTGTCCAACGAAAGGTCGTAGCTGTCTGCAATAACTCCTTCTTTAGCTTCAGCAACTTTCAAAGATATACCTTCGTCCAAACGACCGTCCAATGGGTCGCGTGAGTAATCGAGCAATAGCGACGTCTGCTTCTTCTGTGTAAGTGCCTGAAATTGATCATGAAGCTTCTCAATTTTCCTCTTCTGCATACTCGCACTAAGACCACGCATGTCGTTCTCTTGTTCCTTGATCTGATGTAACTTGGCAAGAACAGCATTGTCACGCTCAGCTTTCTGCTTATCGTGCTTTGAAGGCATCTTTTGATACAGCTCTTCAAGCACACGCTGCGCCACATGCGTTTGTTGATCACCTCCTGTCGCAGTTGCTAGCCGGTCGGATCCGTAACCTTCTTTAAGACGCAGTTTGAAAAACTCCTCGCCTTCCGGGTCTTCAACGCCCGCAACTTCACGCACCAGCCGTCCGTAATACTTGCACACTAGTCGAATTCGTGCGTCGGGCACTTTCCCACCACGACTGAGTACCAGAACAAGGAACTTGAACAAAAAGTTGTCAAAGTACGTCGGAAATAGCCCATTGGAGCTCGTATATTTGGCCAAATAGCCACTCGCTGAGAGCCGAGCGTTCGGATCCAACTGCAACATGTGCAGCAGTAGCTCTTCAAGCCGTGGGTCGTCCACTTTTTTCAACCGTTGACGCAAAGCGTCCGAATCTCCCGTGCGGTACTTTAGCAGCGACGGCAGGTCAAAAAGAGGTTTCCCACCTGAAAACAATTCCGCAATCACACACCCAGCCGAGAAAATATCCATCGACTCAAGCAAACTGCCTTCCCGGCGCGAACGCGAGTACGATGGCGGCGGTGGCTGCATAAATGAGGCCGTCCCTGTGCCACCAGCGCCAGTCCCGCCACCAGTACCCATGGCCAGAATCTGCTTGTCAACTTCTTCCACTGAAACGTCACTGTCAGCCATTTTCGACAGCATGACAACTGCATCCGACGTCTTGGCACCCAATAAAGCAGCAGCTGCTGCTGCACTCACACTAGCTGCTGTAGCTGCGGCACTCGTGGGAACTGCTCCTCCTTTGCCGTAAAACCGCTCGGGCGCGACGCTACAGCCGCGCCGCGTGGCGTCAATAGCACAAAAGTAGTAATTATAGTCCGCCGGGTCGTCTTCTGGAATGTACGTGGGTTTAAACGGCGCAAAGTCCGTGAGAAAGACCCAATTCCAGCTCGTGACCATGACGTTCTCCTGCTTGATATCGCCGTGGCAAATGCCCTTGGCGTGGCTCTGGGCCAGCGCCCGCAAAAGCTGAAACGCGAGCCACTTTTTCTCCACGAGCGTCAAAAAGGGTCGCGAGCAAATTCGGTCGTACAAATTCGACGCGAAAAACGGTCGGACAAGAAACGCCACATGGCTCTTGTGCGAGAGCTGAAAGTCCGCGTACGGCATCACGTTCGGCTCGTGCTCGATCGAAAACGCCAGTGCCAAGCGCCGCAGCGCCACTTCGGCACGACTGAGGGACTCGCGCTCGTCATATTTCCGATAGATCTTGACCACGAGGTGCCCTTCGTCACACTTGCACGAGATACTCTTGAGGAACTTGCCATCGCCGATCAAACTGCCGAACATCATGTCCATCGACCGCGGCGTGTAGTCCATGAGGAACGTCCGGTACTGCGACGCACTGTCCAGGACGCTCTGCGGCTGCGCGCGCGGCGCGGCATTGCCCATCGTACAGAAAATAAAATACAAACTGACCGGACAAGAAATTGATGTTTTGTACGTACGCTCTGGAGAGCGGGGGGGGTACACTGTCGTGAGTGGTAGACAGACCTTTCATATAGCATAGTTTGGGTACACGGATGACGGATGGGGGACCACACCAAGCTGGTCGCCGTGGCCAACCAACGACTTGGATCGCACTTCAGTCTAAATAGCCTGTTGTTCAGTAACGGACAACACATTTGCCAGGCGTCATATCCGCGTGCAGCTACTTCCTGACTACACATTCTGCTAACCAACTTACTTGCATATCTGACATAGGTGAATGTGTCAGCTTCGTTCGACACAATGAGTCGCTGGATGAGTTCAGTCGACCACATCGTAGTTAAGTCACGTGGTGAGACCTTACCATACACCGAGTTACCGCTTCAGTATCCTCAAGCACTACTTGTCCTTCTTTGCAGGCAAGCAGAGTATGCGCCCCAATCCACGGTGCACCTCGACTTTGATCTCCGGTCCAGGGAAAAGCTCTCCGTCAACGCAAATGAGGTCGTTCGCGTTGCTGGCACGTATCGTGAAAGCACGTGTACGAATGAGTTGGACTCGATCCAAATCCAGGTGCGAACCATCCTCAATCCCCATCATCAATCTCGCCAGCTGAAAGCGCGAGTAACGCGCCCCTGAAACGAGCATGAGGTGGAACAAGCCGTCCGAGATATCGGCGGTCGGTGCAATGTGAGCATCTGCCGCAGCGTGGGACGTGTTCATGCCCCAGAACATGTAAAACGATCCTTGCATTTCCAGCCACTTTTCAGCATTTCGACTGTCTTGCTCTTCCTCCAAACATGCGCAAATTGGCTTTGCAGTTGCGACAGTAGAGCTGAAAGCGTCATGGTATGTTTCGGGAAGGGGCTCCTCGTTCTTGACAGCACGATAACGCAGTCGACCAGGATAGTTCGTCCGACCAAAGCCGAAGATCTGCAGTGCCGTCGCAATGAAGAACCGCAAATCGCCGAAAAAGCGGTACCGCTCCGAGTTGATGTCCATATCGGCAACAAAAGCCCACTCCAGCGACAAGAACCCGTACATGTCAGCTCCGTTCCCATTGGTAGCAGAGAACAAGTCTAGATCCTCAACATGGCCCTTGACGAGGGAGTAGGCTGCATTAAGCACCGTCGGTTGCTCGCCAGCTCGCGACAACAACGATGCAGACAGACCGTTGCCTGATCCACCAGGAATGATCTACGAGGGCACAAAACCGCGTCAGCACAGAATCAGCACAGGCATTTGCTGCCAGCACGTACTCCAAGCGGCTGGGGAACTGCTTGCTGCCAGTTTTTGCGCTGCATCAATCCTTGCAGCACTTTGATCAACAACCACAGTGTTAGTCCCATCTACATCAAGTTCAGCATGCCACCATGATCTATTCAACTGACTCTCCGACAGCAGTCCGTCGCCTCCCACCGCCACGATGCAGTCGAACTGATTCAATGGCACTTCTGCCATGAGCTTCGTCGCATGTCCAGCATGTCGAGTAACGACCGTTTCCACGACTATATTCGCCTGCTCGAACACCGGAGCGACCTGCTGCTCGTACGTCTGCTGCGCATCGCCCGTACCTCCTGCAGGGTTGATCACCACCAAAAACTACAGCCCCATTAGCATCAGTCTACTCACTCACTCAACGTCCATCATCTCTCTCGAACCTTTCGTAAGGGCAGGTCTTCGTAACCATCCAGCAGCTTTTCCGTCATCTCTCCAGCTCGTGGATCTGCAAAGAACTGGATGGCCTTCACTATCGTCGTCGCCACCTCACCTCCCATGTCGTTCGCCTCACATTTGAACAACCACTGAACCAGTACCCGATCCACACCTGCATTCTCCGAGGTACTGCCTGTGAGAGCTGAAGGTAGCACAGCCATAGCCAGTGATGTGAGACAGCCAAGCAGTCCACCTCTGCCGGACAACTTCTCGGACTTTGGCATGCACCCAAAGACAACAAACTCCCTGTCATTTTCCAAGTCACTGTCTGCTTCGTCGACAGGTACAAAGCGGTGGCGGATACTGCGCGTACACTCCGAAGCGCCGAGGATCCAGCACCAGGGAATCAGATCCGACACGGAGGAGACAGACGACGCCACAACAGAGTGCAGCTCAATACCCCTCGCCGTTAACTGAAGACGCTTGGGCTCATCACCACGGCGTTCACTAGCATATAACCGGCAGGTCACAGACACGGGACTTTGTAGATGGCGTTTGCACAAAGCCGTCTCCTCCATCCTTGAAATCGCTGAGGTACTGCCGACGACGATGATCACTTGAGACTTTCGAAGATGATGATCACCTGAGACTTTCGACGATCCCACTTTACAATGGAGACCGTGGACTGGCCATAATCATTCGACTGGTGCTCGGCGCGCGCACAAAGAAGAGGACGACTAAGACTGGACTCATCAGACCTTGCTTGTCTCGATGGTGCGTGCAGAAAGTGCAAGGCATGTGGCACTTCAGCAAAAAGTAGTCTGCTTGGCTTAGTACTTTCACGTACTTCCCAGTAGTCGATCCTGACGCACGACATCGGACCGAACCGTGATTTGACCATCTGGTAGAAAGCGAATGGTCTTGTCGTTCCCGAGCGTCACCTCGCGCAGCCCGTCGAGCTGCTCCATCATGGTTGTGCCATCTGGAAACACGGAAAACTCGTCGCCGCTTACGTGAATGGTCTTTTTAATGCCGTCAGCAAACTGGATCTCAATCGTGCCGTCGGGCAACGTGGTCTCAGTCTGTTGATTCGCAAATTCATACACCCTGCGGTTGTCCGGATACTTCGTCAGCTTCGTCCGAGCCTCGTAGTAGTGATAAACGCTGACTCCAGTGTCCGGGAAGAGCTGTGGCAGCAACACCAACCACAAGTAATGCCATCGTTAACGACTGTCGATATCGGCACCTCAACAAACAGCATCCTTTGTACCTCTTGATGGTCGCCGTTTGCGAACTTGATGACGACGCGGCCACTAGCGTCAACGTCCTTTTCACTACCATTCGGGAAAACGATCTTCCTGCTTCCATCCGTGTACAGCAACTCCCGCTTTCCACCCTGCAGCTCTACCTCGTTAGCAACAACCTTGTGCTCTGATGAAGATGTTGAGACTGAGGTCACACTCGCTCTTTCGCGGCCATTGCATTGTAGGTCGGTGTAGCCAATGTCGTACCGACCTTCGCCATTCCGAACTGCAAAGGATATCCGTTCGGACAATACAGGATTATTTGCACGCACGTGACCCAAGTCGCTGGTACAGTCCTCCTTGCCACTCGGACAAGTTGTTCTACCCGATGAGACCCCAGGCACGCACGAGCGATGAACGCCCTCGACTTCTAATCCGTCACGTTCCCATTCGTTGCGGTTCACCGTGTTATGCTGATTGCAGTCCGAGGATGCCGTACAGTCCATCTTCTCGTCAATCTCGGGTATGGTGTCGTCAGAAGGACTCCATCCCTGTGCGTCTACATCTTTAATGCAAACGAAGCCACTCATCGTATGTGAACCGTTCTCCTTACTGAGCACAGAAGGGAATGTGGAAGTTGCGCTGGACTTTGTTGTCAGTCCAGAACCATCTCGCGTCTCTTTCAGAAGCTGGTCGTAGTCTACCCACTGCTTATAGCGACCCTTCTTCATGACCTCAATTTCTTTACTTAGGTCACAATTTTTCTCTTCCAGCTCCTGTACGACATGCAATGGGAGCAAACACATGACAAACGTTTGGCAAATAGCGATCAATAGATTGACTGACATCACGTACATAAACACGTTGCCGCAACTTGTCACATGCGGCCTTCCATTTGCCCACACGTGCTTTTCCGTCAACTTGCATCTGCACGATCTGCGCCTTGAGCATTTCCACTTCCCCGCACTCGTTCAGATTTGGTCGAGATACTGCAATCTTCGTACGCAGCTTGCATTGTCGTCGACGCAGCTTCTCCTCTTTTATTTTCGTGCGCTCTTGCTCCCACTCTTTTTCGGTCAACGTTCGCTGTTGTTGCCCATATCGTGCATATTCGTCCCTACTGACTGCCAGATTTTGTACTTTTTGGTCGATAACATGCACTGCTTGATCTTGCAGTTGCGCACGCTTGTGTTCAATAGTCGATTTGGACCGCTCCTGCAGAAATGATATCGGCCGCGCAGAAGGAGCCACCCAATCTGCCCTTGTGCTGGTACTGCTGCTAACGATCGGGCTTGTGTCACCTTCATAGGAAGCCCTATCACGATCGCTGTTATTAACGTGCTGGAAGTCTGCCAAAACGGTTTGCGCCAACGACGAAACCGGGGCACCTCCTCCTAACTGAAAGTTCATCGTTTCCTGTATGCAATTCCTTCGACAACCGGGGGTCGCCGAAAGCACTCGATATTTGGCTGATTGATGCCTGTCACGACCACCATCACTAGCGAACCACTCTTGGTCGTTTGATGATGCATGCACGTTAGCAGCCACAACGTCTGGACATCGTTCGTGCTCTACACTTCTCTGTGGTTGCGAGGACAAACCATCATGCCATGGCACAGAACCGTCGAGGCTTGTAGCACTCAACTCCGAAGGTAGGTCACCACAACAAATCTCGGTTTCTGACTGCTCTCGAGAACGATCAGTCAATTCATTACATTGAACGATCATGTCATCCACCGAATTAGATGACTTGTTGGCAAACATCCGTGCTGGATCCACCATGTTGTCGATACTGTCATCAAATAACTCGTGCCTGGTCCTCTGCCACCTCGGTCGGTCTTCTCCATCAAAGTCCGATACCAGCGACAAATCGGACAGCTCCCAGTCAGTCACGTCCGACGTACTGTCATCCAATACCTGCTCTTGATCAGAAGGTGCCAAATCCAACTGTTTCAATTGCTGCTGTTGTTGCTGCTTTTCTCTCCAATTCAAAGCTGTTTCCGCCATTAACTCGTGCTCGATTGCTTCAAATTCAGCAATCTCCTGCGCTACCTGCTGTTCTTTTGCTTTCCATGCGTGTCGGACGCTCGTCATGTTGATCACGTCCGTATCTCGTGGCCTCAAAGGATCCACCGTGCGTTGCCAAGCTTCAGTCTCGTCACTTTCTGGCAGCTTCCACGGCAGCTGCTGGACCTCCTCACAATTGCCGGGTCTGTTGTGCTCTTCCAGCATCGCAGATGGGAACCACGTACCCGTGGACGTCCAGCTTGAAAAAAACCGCTGCCGTCTTTTTGACTGCTGACTCCCAGCCCGTTCTTCTCTTGCCGTCTCGATTGATGACTCAAGTGAGTGCGTTTTATGCACCTTGAGCTTCCCGTTATTTGCTACGTCAGCGATTGGAGACGTTTTCTCTACGCGATATGGTGCTGAAAAAAACGCGTTTGATTGTCCTGTAAGGGAAACATAGTAATCACACGTTTAAAAAGAGCAACCCACGAGAGCAGCTGTAGCTGCGTATTCGTTACTCGCACCGTTGGCATTAGAGACGAAGGAAGCATTTGCAGTCAACTTGAAACGAAGCTGATAATCGTTCGCTTCATGCGCCGTGCGTAGCTCCTGTCGACTCACGGCGCAAGAGGACGGAGACGAGTTCCTCGTGTCTGATTGCTGGGGTACCATTCGTTCGATTGCTGGGGTACGAACGTCCGATTGCGGGGTACGAAACGTCCGATTGCTGGGGTACGATGCGTCTGATTGCGGGGTACGATGCGTCGGATTGCTGGGGTACGATGCGTCCATTTGCTTGTATCGTTTTTTCGTAACCTGGTTACGATTGAGCAAAAAGAATCGACAGCGCCGGGTCTCGTATTTACGCGTAAGAAGCTGATTCACCTCTTTTTTATTCTTTTTACGCTCCGTGCATGAATGGCTGGCAGTGAAAAGCCGGCAGCACAGCACCGCTTACAGCTAGAGCAAGCTGGTCACGAATGTAGTCATTGTAGTATTTGACAGTAGAAAACATGTGGTTGCACGTAAACTGGAGCATGATGATCCCTTTATCTCTCGATACCTTCACGACGGTCATCTGAGCTTGCTTTAAAACTTGCAGTGGTGAAAATCGAGAAACTAAGCTAGCTGATATTTCCAGTATCCCCTGTGTGATTGCACGAAACAAGAGACTGTAGGCGCGGAGATGACGAAACTCTTTCTATCTGTCAATCCTCTGAGAGCGACGGTGAAGAGGACACAAAGTAAGCTTTTTAACTGCAATCGCGATCCGCCATCTATTCGTGCACTTTTCTTTTTCAGTATTCATTCTCTTGAGAGTAGTAGGTTACAAATGATGAATAAAGTAAGACGAAAGTGTGATTTCATGTATCAAGGCCAAAGCCCAAGGATAATGCAACCGCATTTCCTGTTTAAACGTCACGCGACTTGTGTTTCCACAAGTCACGAGTCCGTGGCAGTCGCAATAGAGGCAAGGATCCTCTTTATTGTACTCATGTTCCACTTCCAAGTTACGGCTGATTTTCCATGTGCACGAACCCATTTCGTAATGTCGGCCGATTTTGCTGCGGAGCGATATTTTGTGCAAGCTCCTGTGCGGCTTTCTTCTGCTGGAGCGACTTAGTCAAGTAAAGTGTTTGGCCCTGACTAGAAGTTCGGTGGCTTCCATCTTCTCGTCTATAGTTCCCACGATGGAAGCATCATCGAACTTGACGGACTGTGTGAGTTGCGACTCTTTGTCCTTAAGAAGTCCGAAATGCGTTAAAGCGATCAAGGTCTTTTCAATCTTGTCCAGTACGACCTTGTCAGTACTATACAATTTCGCGTCAGCAGGATCCAGTTCCTTGCGCAGCTCGTTCAAGTGGTACGTCGAGTCCATGGTATCCGCATCGAGATCCTTGTAGGCTGCACGAACCTTTCTGGCAAAAAGGTCCTGAATTGCGGCATGGACATGCCGCAATCCTCATCGAAAAGGAGTTTGTACGTCGATACTGCGTCCGCGTACTGAAGTGAAGGCGTCAAGCCTCCGTGCGGATTCAGCACGCCTTTTCCCGCGCACATCGCGTCCATCGTGGCCGCGTTGTTACGGCGAACGTCGACTTTATTCTTCATCAAGAGAGTGATTTCTGCAACATCTTGCGCGGACGGCATACCGGCTTGTGAACCAGCACTCAATTCCAGTGACTTGAGTGCAGGGAGATCAGCTAGCTTGCTCATGGCTATAAGCGCAGTTTTGACGGCGTCCAGAGCCTCCCCAACGATCGAGGGTGGAGCCGCTCTCTCCTCATTTGTTCACGAAAAGTCGTAGCCGTTGGTATCGTCGTTGCCGTCTTTCTTGTCTTCCTCTTGCTCTTGCACGCGTAATGACCTGTTGATAACTGGGTACTCTCAACCGATTGCGCTGTGGTTGTTGGAACGGGGTTACACGAATGGTTGTGATAACCAGGTACATTGGTGTGATGTTCACAGAAAGAGATCAGTTTCGCTGGTAAGGCGTACTTTTGTATCACATACGCTTAGCGATAATTGCGTACCTTATCGATTACGGATAGACGGTATTTATCGTAATAGAGGTTTTAATGGACGGCGTAGTTCTGGTGCGGCAACACCAGAAGAACCTCCACGAGAACTATTCGATTGGGTAGCATAGTTTGAAAGGTTAAAGACGCAAGTGAGGTCTATGATCGCTATAAATCAGTAAGAATATGCCGTTCCCCTTTTTGATCAGTTTCATACACGTGTCTTATAGAGCCGTCTTTGATCGTAAGAGTCAAGAGCCAGTATTGAGGCTAGTACTCCTGGGCATGCGTTCCACATGATTTCTTAAATTCATTGGTCCTCTGGACCCGAAATAGAAGCTTGCAAGATTGTTAATGTACTAAGAGTTGTGTCTCACTTAGTCTACAAAGGTTTGAGACCCTTCGGGTTGATACCCGTTTAGGTTGATATGCTAAGAGACTCTACGAGTCTAGAAGTGTTCCTGCGACAAAGGAGTAACGTTAGCTCCGCTGCATATAGGGTACGATATCGTCATAACCTGTTTTAAAGTCTTTTTGGTACTACGCATATACAAATGAACCTAGTTTTCACAAGAAGCAGCACCTGAGGACATCAATGCCGGTGCTCCAGCTACTGAAAACAATGTCCTTCAATTGTGCACGTTGCGTAAGACTATCAACAGTGGCCCGATGGAATCAGACATCTGATTCATGGAATGTAACGAATACGTGTGAAACTAAGAGAATGAAAGCAGACTTGGACTAATGCATGAATAGAAGTTGTGGCTGCTTCAAAAGGTAGATTACAATTCCTGACGATGTAAAAATCGAGTAGAGCTGACATCCCACATTCGTCAAGACCCATTTTGGTGTCAGTTCTTTGCTTCATGTAGCACAGACCATCTCAGGGCACTTTTGCTCATTTGATAACCCATTGGATCTTGATTGTGCGAGCGTGTAGTCTTTCGTTGCATCATTTTAGCGTGATGAGGAGATCCAGCATTGTGATTCAACGTGAAATCGAACATGACGTGTCGCGGTGTCTGAACAATTTTGTGCGACAAGTCGCGTTCTTTGGCTTCATGAGAGCGCAACTGGTGGGTGTACTCGACAAGCACCAGTTTAATGATCTTGTCCATTCTATCAATGCGGAATAACACTGCTTAAAGAATAGATCAGGAACCGACATGACTTGACGAGATTATACAATACCAGGCGGAACTAATAAAATCCACACGCCTCCTGTGCACACGACGCGAGCAAATACGCCATAACATGAATTAATATAACAGATTAATTCTGCTACTTACTAGCACGTACATAATTGACTGTAAAGCGCGATGAACCAACACCCTGTCATACAACGTCAGCTGTATTTAGTAAATTGGACGATATTACGCATCAGTGGGCGCGACAACTTCAAATCCGCAAAATATTCCAAAAATGGTCTTGATAGACTTTTCGCAACGATCAAAAAGAAACCAACGGTGAATAGACTGAAATAAAAAAATGCTTTGCAATACGTAAAAGTCATATCCTTTTCTCTAATCATGTCCTCTCATTAGCCGATTATTCAGGGTCATTTTAAATTTAGATAGTTTTACCAGAAAACTGAGGATAGATTTTCGGTCCCTTGTTGTATGTAGCAGGTTGCGTCGTGGCGTTGTTCCACAGGTCGACCATCTTTTGATCAGTGAAAATCAAGTTGTTGCTTGAAGTGTCAATCAAGCATTACCGATATCGCTCAGAGCACTGGACAATGTCTGAAAACATTCGACGATTGTCCAGGCCTATAACGCTTTAAAAACCATTCAGAATAATTGCTCGTCAGTCCTAACCACAATTTCAACTTTTTCAAGAATTGTCTGGAGATTCAAACAATGAAAAAACGTTTATTTAGCGAAGTCACTTTGACAAATCTATCTCGATATTGATTCTAATAATCGGCATCGCTTGGTCCTTCCCTCTGTAGACTTAAAAAAACACCTCGTTTTGCTCATTGATTAAAATGGGTCGTACAGAGTGGTTTACCACTAACGCACAAAGCATTGCTTCTTGTTTTGCTGTGAGACTCATTCTCCCGTGAATATTAGAACACTGCGCAGCATTCATTTGCCACTTCTTTTGTATTGGCGGACCGGTAGCGGTTGATATTGACAAACACTAGCTACAAGATTCAAAACGGCGAAAATTTGGGAACGACCGTAAATATCATATTTTTCAATGAAACGAATTTGTGTAGTAAGAGCAAGAAGAAGGGGTCAAGCAGAAGATCAGAATCAACAAGTACGTAAAAAGCTACACGTATCAATAAGTGTTGCGAAAAGAAAAGACTAGCAGGTCCAATGCACATGAAGTTATCGGAGATGCAATCGCCACCGACGAGAGATGAGAAAGTAGAAATGCACCCGAAGCCGTACATATCCTCATTTGAATGTTTGCTCTACATCCCAACATGTACGCAAACTTATGTGGCGTATGTAGTCGCACAGCTGTTGCTTGTCCTGGTGAATCCGGGTCATCAGCATTGGAAGGCTGCAATATTTGTTCTCAGCCACCTCAAGACAACAACGGACTACGATACAACTTACGACGGCAGCGCAAAGCACAAGTTGCAGCATCGAAGGTCGCGAGCGAAGGCAGTTGTATCGACGACCGACAATCTGCGTCGGAGATAATGGTGATGATTGGTGATGCGCCAGTCGTTTTCATGTTTAAGTATTATCGCAAGGTAGCTTGAAGCTCGGTCGAGGCGGAGTACATGGCTTTGAGCCTGTTTAACTTAGGATTGCTGTGGGTCTGTGCGATGCTTGATGATCTCGGCCGTTAGTTAGTGAAAAATACGTTGTTCTGGGAAGATGATAGGGTGCAATCGGACTTGCCAATAATGCGGTCTACGATGCTAGGTTCTGAGCAAGTCGACATTCGTCACCACTTCATACGGGAGAACGTGGCTCAATACATTATCGTGTTGTAGTACATGTCTACGGAGATTCATCTTGCAGAAAGGTTGGACAAGGCATAAGGGACTAAGCGACCCAAGTACTTGCTACGAGCAAGTAGTATCGGACCAAGGTGCAGTCAGCTTTAGCGGTGAGTGAGATTGCTGATATTACACCGTAGAATACATGTTTGACAGGCGAATGTCGTTAGAGGATCTGATAAACGGCTAATACCTGAAAGGCCATGACGTTCGTAGAATGACGTTACTAGATGCGTCAGTAATAAGGCTATAAAAGAAAGGTATCAGACCTAGCTCAGGGTAGCGATCTAAGGACCGAAATGTAATCAAGTCCTAATCATGATATTACTCGAACAACAAGCACCGTTATCAGGGCTGCCATTGTTCAGCACGTGTCCTGTCCCAAATGGCCATCAGTTAAAGTTATTAAATAAACAAATTTCCCAAATGGCCATTAGTCAGCGTGGCGTTTGAAATATCAGCACTAGGAACATCAGGTATCGTTTTGACGCAAGGAAGAAAATTACCTAGAAAAATGCAGCTCAATGCTACTTCGTCGCCCTGTGTCCAGGGGCTCAGTTATTCTGGACTCGTGTTAGATTAAAGCTGCGGGTGTCAAGTGTATACAAACGGCTTGCGAACCTTTGATGAGTAGGATACTTTTGGGGTGTCTTTGTCGAGTACGCAAGTACGTTTTTGCACGGTTAAAACGGTATTTTAGTAAATCCCGTCCCTAGAGTAGGCTCGACCTCCGATGACTTGCATAAGATAAGTTGGAGGCTCTGCGCATATAGTGCCAACGAATGATCACTATACACTAGGTATTGTACTGCACGAATTATGACTGCTATGGTGAACATTCGTAAGCGGAACTTCGAACAATGGTGTCGTCTGCTATAATTACAACTTGTTGTCAAGATAGAGCAGCCAAAGTGAGAAGACGAGGAAAATCGTGAGCAAGTTGAAGTAATTTGATGGCGGACTGCAGCGAGAGAGTACTTGTACATAGTGATAGCGATTGCCAGGCGGCTGTTTATGCAGAAAGATACTAGTCTTACTGTATCATTAGCGCCTGGAATGGTTGCTTGATAGCCAAACTTCTGGTGTTTGCCAGTGGTAGTGATAGATGCTGGTAAAAACCATGTTTTGACGGTTTCAAACAGTGTGAAAGTGCACGACCATCGCTTTGTACCTTCACTGTGAGCTATCCAGGTGACAAGATGATACTTTGATGAGTTGAGATGGCTGTTCAGGGTCGTACGCAGTGCTGGATGAACATCGACAATGCTTGTTTTCGACTATACTCAATGTATGCAAACCATTCTAATGTTTCACGCAATGGTCCGACATGTATTTCGACAGTAAACAACGATCGTCCACGCACAGACAGTCGTCACTGCAAATAATGCACGCAAGTGT